TGCTTGTGGGGACTGGTCTGTTTGGGTTGTGAACACTGATTAAATTTTTTGTTCTTTGCGATGGCATACGCTGGTGGTTACTCTATTCTCCCAAATTTGAATATTAATGACTGTGTATTATTATAAAGATGTTCCACTATTATTTGAAAAAAAAATACGAGCTGAGTTTCTTGTCAGTTCTTCTCATCTCGATATTCCGAACTGACGGTAGATTTGTCTGTAATAGACCTACATGAATAAAGATATTTTGAATTTGAATTTATAATTATTATGCACTATTAAAATGAGATTAGCTTGCACAAACGTACAGACAAATAGACGATTCTACTAATAATCATAATTATGGGGTCTTACGTCTACTGTCGATAAAGACCACAAAGAATCCTTATTTCTCATAGAACTTCCATACAGACTGCGATCGGTTATATTTTTATTAGAGGTACTCGTGAAAAGATTTCGGCCAATATTTATCATCATAATTTTTTATCATTATTTTATACATTATAAAATTATTCTCATATAATATCATCGTAGCAAAATATACATACTATCAATCGTTTTTGGATTGTCATACACCTTGTCACATATTACGTTACAAAATATCAAGAGATATGAATTGATATGACGCAATGTACTTACTCATACTTATCCTTATAGTAGGACTTTGTCCGTCCGTCCGTATCTCACACTACAGCGATATATACTTCAAGAACTATTAATGCTATATACGATTATACTAATTATAAAAAAGTTTATAATAAAAAAAAAATACTGTACTGTATACATTAAATTTTCAAAACGATATACCGACTTTTGATTTACATAGCCTGTAATCTCGGAAAAATATAATACTATAATAGATAAGCATAGATTATAAAAATACTTCTAATTATTATATATATCAACTTGAAACATGTACAATTGTAAAATACTTTACTCGTTCTTCTGATTTTTACACGTTTTAATATTCGCGAAAATCTTAGCCTATATGAGAAACACAAATCCCAAGTTTATAAATATAATCACAGGCCTTCACTGAAATGCCTATTAGGGAGGTCAATATAAATAATAAATATAAATCATTTTCATTCAAATAACTTTACATAAGCACTTTTGACTAGTTTTTAATTATACCGCCGAGTCGACATTCAGATTCAGTCAAAAAGAATGAATAAGAAACTTTGTTAGTTAGTTAGTTTAAGAACTTTACATATTTATGATTCTGTGTGAATACAACCTACCAACTACCTACATACATATACCTTAACAACAATTTAAATAACCATATAAGTACAAAAAAAGCATAAGCGTTCCACTCATGTCTCACGTAGGTTGTCCATTCCACTTATGTAGTACTTAAGCACCGTTAGCATTTGAACGTCTTTGGGGAAAAACGCTTCTTTATATAAGCGTAATAATCACGTCATTCCAAAGCCTGTAAGGTAAGCAAGCCGAGCTCACATAAAACGGGTCCTATTAAATCAGAACACTAGTAACCTAAGGTATTTGAAAGACCTTTGTTTTAGGTAGTAAATGGTAAAATATTATTTCAAATAATAAAAATTACCCAGAATAATTCACACCAAATTCCAAAGTCCCAAACTAAACAGAGTTCGTGCTATAGATACTAAATAACTAATCGGAATAATTAAATACTTATATTTCTGTAAATATTTAAACATATTTAGTATACTTACATAGAAAACACCTAGTCCAATATATACAATAATACTCAGATATAAATGTTTGTATTGTGCTAGAAATAAAGCAGCGAACTAGGAATTAACTTAGCTGGATTACTAAGACTCTCTATATAAAAAAAGCCTCAACATCCCAAACTATCATTACTTAAATACATACTATTTACTATATTGTTGTATAGTAAATAGTGGATAATTAAATATAACATACGTAAGTGCTGACTCTACAATATTCAGTAAAATATTAGACGAGTTTTCACACACAGAACCTAACAGAGACGCTTAAAGCAAAATGAAATTTGTGTTCATTTTGGTCACGTCCTCTGCACTAACAATATAAGAAACTTCTCTTCTGTAATGTATACTATAAATTTAAATATAATAAATAATATTTCTCTAGTATGCTAACGTAATACACTTAACGCTTTGACGAGTTTTGTTACGGAACTTTTACTTTGTTATTCAATTGCTGGTTTAATCTTACTACGGCGCGAAATATTACGTGATTGTTATTATGACGTGAGCATCATGGTCTAGTCGTTTACCGCCCTAACATATTGCCAAGATCGTGAGTTCAAATCTGGCCGACACCATATGAACAAACATTAGAGTGTCAATTTATGTCTTACTGACTCTCCAGAGGAGGAAACACTGATATCCAACCAAAGTTTATCGGGTGGTAGGGACTGCTCCGTTGAATTCAATTATTACGTTTACCGTGAGATCGGCAGTTGACAATACGTCCAATAAATGTAATATATTCAACCGATTTCAAAAATACGGATTATATTTTGAATAACAGTTATCATTTTTCTGTTATGTGAAGCGCATTACTGTCTATACAAATTCTGCACCGACTATTTCAATTTAGGAAACTAATTTCATTTATATATGGTATATTATAATTCGATTTATATAAATTTGTTCAGATACTTCAGCTTGCGAGATCGTCTCACACTATCGGGTTTATTTCTCGTATAAGTATACCTACATTTCTACAGAGTCAAATTACCTAAGATATCATTTCCCTTTTGTAGTAATAATACTTTCCGAGGTGATAATGTTATAGTGACTATTTTGTCATTAACTATTATTATCTATTTTATCATATCGACAACTATTGACTGAAATAGACTCTGCCATTTCAATGAATAGTTAATTGTTTTAATCACTTTTAATCAGAACAACCAGTTATATCTACCTATCTGTTACCAATTAAAACAATGGATTATATTTCCGAGTTAAATCTTAATTTATAGGACGGCAATAACGATAACATATTTTTATTGTACTCAGTCACGTACATTACAAATGATACCTAATTGTAATATAAGCCTTAGTACTTTGTCACAATAACTACAGACAACTTTAACTAGTAAGCAAATGGCTAAATTAATATGACAAGGTAACACTGTCCACATGGATACATATATGTTGTTTGTACCATATCACTGTGCGTCACAAACTATTATTGTTGTCATTTATTTAAATGCTTTTGTTCAACTAGCGAAGCGTTCTTGCAAACCGTGAAGTAATGAATAGAAAAGCAGACAAAATTGCACAAAAATTACTCATAATATTAGATTTATTAAAAACATATGGCAAGTGCGATGGCCTACCATAAATTCTGTCAAAATGACAAAGGTATAGGTACTGTATGATTTTGAAAGGTATACTTTTTCATTGCACGCATTGATATTGCGCTTTGGTCTTGCTTTTTTTACCTACATACCCGGTTCGTAAGTAAGAGTAAATTTTTGCCTACATTATCTAAAACTGTTTCAAATTTAAATAGATAGCCAGACAAACGAACGGGTTAAATCGCATCTAAGTGGGGTTACACATAATAAGGTTCTGTCGGACGATCGTTCGATGCGACACCGTACCCAATTGGCGCATTTCCAAAGAGGGCAGGGCACAGCAATCAAATGCACCAATTGAACGGGGTTGTATTGGACAACCTTCCGACTAAACTGAATAATGTGTACCCACCGTAACTACCGAATTGCGGTGCAGTACCCTAAAAATAAACTAGACATAACAATATACATAACTGATAACCAATCCATATGTTATCCAACTTGTTTATATAAAGTTTGTTCATATAGACGACACGCCAGATTGTTTACTAAATTATCACTTACGAAAACACAGAATAAACATACCAATTATTGTATTTATTTAGTATTTTTGATAAAAAAATATTGGTAAACAAAATTGACTGTCCAATTATATTGAACATACATACATACAGACTGTACATTTACCTATCTAGTTGTGAGTGTTATCTATATTGCTGGATAAACGTTAATTATAACGTACGAGTTCACTAAATAAACAAAGTTTCCGAACACAAGACAATGTAAATTGGGATATATATATTATTATCTGTCTATTATATAGGTTTTTTTTATATTGATTTGTATGTTTAATTTATTCGACTAACACTACAAAATAATAACCACATTACAGATGAATCCTATGAGTGAACTACAAACTTATTGTTTGTAACGAATGGTAATCAGGTTTTAGTAAATGTGGAATATATGGTTTTAGAAAACTTATACCATCTTCTGTGGTTGCCTTTATCAGAGTAAATATTGTCGTTGAAGTTTCGACTTAATTTATACAAATTGTAATAAGCGTAGTAACTTATTACGTATTCATTGTAAAAGTAAACCGAGAGAGAATTTGCTGCGTTCATTTTCGCCTGTCATTGCAATAATATGCTGATTTTTACACATCTGTATACAAATGTATTTTAGGTACACTTTGTATAAAGTAATTTGCATAGGCACTTCTATCTTGTCGATTTCAATCGTCAAGTATCTTACTTTGTAATATGTGTTTCGGATAAACGGTGAGAGAAGGCAGTGAAATCACATGATCCAGACATGACATTGTAGTATTTTGGAAAAACAATGCATCATCGTCATATGATGACGAGTAAGCAACAGTTTTCATTTACCTTCAGATGGGCCATCAGCTTGTTTGTCATTACTTATTGACAATACATTCTTCTTTCGTGTCAATGGCGACATAAATATTTGGTTGCTCGGAAAGTTAATTAGTTTTTTCCCGACAGAAGATTTCATTGAATTCAACTGTTATAACCACTCGAAAGACCTGGGTTTAACCTCGAAGCTCGTTTATCCTAAAAAAATAACAAATTACTTTCCGAACAGCCAAATATATTTAGATACACGAGAACTAAGAGCATTTTATGGCCTGACAGATTGTAGATATTGTGAATGATCGTGAGTTGTGATAAATAAAAGATTAAGGCTCTTAATTACTTACTTTAGTTTTGGTCTCCACTCTGACGACATCCATGTGGGTGGAGTCGCCTCTCGCCAACGCCATGGATAACCCCGTTAGATTTTGAGGGATATATGGTTCACTAAAACAAGTAAATGTTATGTTCATTATATAGAAATTAGGAATAATCTCAGATGGCGTAACCAGAGGCATTGTCAACTGACGGTGTTCTACGTTTCACTAGATACAGAGTGTAATAATACGTGAAGCAAAAACTTTGTATCCCATTTTACGAAGACTGTGCGGAGTATGGAACTAAGAGTTTGCGATATAAAAATACATTAATCAATAAAAAGTAACATTCTTAATAGCTGTTCCCGCGACTTCGTCCGCGTGGTTTTTAACTTTATTTTTCTAAAATAAAAGTAGCCTAAGTTACTCATTACATCAGCTACCTGCCAAAAACAGTCCTGTCAAAATCGGTCCAGCCATTTCAAAGATTAGCCGGAACAAACAGACAGACAAAAATTATAAAAAATGTTTTTTGGTATATGTAGCGTATATATATATTCATATGCATGTAGTAAAAAACGGTTATTTCAATATTACAAACACACTCCAATTTTATTTATATGTATAGATAAACGTGAAAGTTTATGAGTATGGATGGATAGATGGATGGATGGATGTTTGTTACTATTTATTTTATGTAGAGAAAGAGTGCAGAATGCTATTTATTTTTAATTGTGCATAAAAAATACATCAATACAATAAAAGTAACATTTACCACACAAACCCACACTACTATATATTTGACATACACACGCATATATAATCTTTTGTTTATGTGTTTGCCTGGTTCGAAGATCTTTATGTATTTTTTATTATGGGCTAATTTGAACTAGTTTTTTTTTTAAAGCAAGCTGGTATGAGACGAGGTTACGATCGCGCTATCATCCTTTCCTTCTTAGATTATTACACAATATAACAAACTCAACTGTAAAATGTTTTTATACAGTGGTATATGAGTACAATTACATATAGGTGTACTAGACTCGCGTGTACTGGCGGCGCTAAAATGTCATTAATATTTAACAGCGTTTAAACCGAGGTTAACAAAGAAAGATAATGTACAATGCCACGTTAATATCAACGCCAAGCATAATTAAAAAATAATTTTCAATATTTGTCATATTGTTGCGTTATCATATACAAAAAAAGCAGTCAAAGAGCCGAATCAATAATTTTAATGTTTTTTTTAAAAACAATATGCACAGATTGTGTTTATGTTACGTTATGATTTACTAATAAAAAAAAGTTTCTTAATCTCTCTATTCATTTATGGACTTTCATCTCAAAATCTTAACCGATTTTAATGATGTATTCGAGCAAGTTTCTAGTAACATTTAGTATTTGTTTTATACCAATTGATTATAAAATACCTAGACTATTATTACTTTGAATATAAATGATACAAAGTCGCGGACTCAGCAGTGAATACAGTTGTGACTTCTGACTCGGTTTTATTTCACATTTGAAATTCTGAATACAGTAAACGTAAGTTAACCGAATAACAAGTAATATGTAAATATCGTGGAGTATCTTTCTTGTCATTGGTCAGATAGGTATAATGTTTGTATTATGTGTGTATCAATCAATGTATGTACCTATACGTACCTACAAATATTCATAAAAGAGTACGACGCTTCGTGAATTCGATGAAAAATTATAATTACTAATTAGACAGATAAGATTTTATAATTTCTCTTTATCTAATCTTATACTTAAATGTAGAACTATGAGTATTTCTGTACTAGTATTTTAATCTATTTACACTTTAAAAGGCAAGAACAAAAATATTAAATTCTAAGCCGCTTGACGGCTTCTTTTGTCTGGCAATTTAGCTGGTCGCTGCTTCTCAGAAGTCGCAAGAGATAAGCATTTGTAATCACAAATGTGTGTTTAGCTTGGGTTGTTTCTATTGATTCCTATGTATTTATAAAAAAGTACATATATCAGTCCATGCTCTGCTTTGTAATCACCGTTGAAATAAAATTAAAACTCTTTATTGTTAAAAATATACACATATTACCACTACGTGTAAGACATTATTAGTAAAGTATTGATCATTTTATCTTAGAAATACCATTTATGAATCATCTCAATTAAAAATGAAACCCATAGTGATGTCATGGAGTTTCCCTGATTTAAATTATAACATAGTTTAGACTATAATATAAATGCAAATTTTGCAAACGTTAATTTTTCGAACACACTTTCCTCAATCCGGGTACATAACTACCATGCAAAACTGGTAATTGCTTTTATATCCGAACGCAACACGTTTGTCCAACACAAATACACCCACGCGCTTTATCTTATTTACTCCAAGCAAATAGGTCATCTTACAAAAAGAACAGTTCTAAACCACCAAATCATCCACCCATCATCTTCTTATTGCATTTATTAGGGGTCGGCATAATATGTTTCATATTACGAGAAAATGGTTTTGACTTCAGTCTATAACTGATACCTAAAAGATGTACTAAATGTGTGGACAGCAACAATTAGTACGTAATTACATATTACAACTACGCAGTAATACATCATTATCATTATTACATAGTATAAAACAAAATCGCTGTCGCTGTCTGTGCCAATGTATGCTTAAATCTTTAAAACTACGCGACGAATTTTGAAGCTGTTTTTTAAATAGATAGAGTGATTCAAGAGGAAGGTTTATATGTATAATACATACACCCGGGCGAAGCCGGGGTGGGTAGCTAATTTTATTATAAAGTTGTTTGTGATTTATGATGTCAAAGAAAAATTTATATAAGTTGATATCTTAATAAGCAGATAGATAAACAAAGGACAGAACCAAAGTCAGCAAACAAGAGTAAATATATATAAGAAATCATCCAGTTTCATACATACAGGCTGTCCCAAAAGTCGACGTCAATCGGGGACCGAACAGGCTAAGTTATATAGTCATCAGAAGAATTATAGACATTTAAAAAATATCGAGACAATCACCCTATAACGGTTTATTTATTTCCGTTACTATACTCACCATTCTTTATAATATATATTTATGTTCTTTGTAATTCGGAATACTTCGTCTTTAGAGCTAAACGCTAACGCTGCGTAAAATAAAATTATTCTAATTAGCTCTAGCTTGAAAGTAAATGTCACTTTTTGTTAAACCAAAAATATGTTAATGAAAAATAAGTAAATGAATATTTCATTAGTTTTGGTTTAAATGACTACTGAAAAAATGTATCCACTAGGCGAGTGAGGTAAGTAACTTTGGAATCATACATCTAAAATAATAATTATTTCAGGACAATTCACACAGCACCATCTAGACTCAAGTTAAGCTAGCAGAAGCATGTGTTATTGGTACTAGATAACTGATAAAGACATAGATATTATACATAGAAAACACCCAGACCAATACAAACAATCATACAAATGTTTGTACCGTGCGAGGAATTGAAGCCGCGACCATCGGAAGTAAGGTGGTGTGCTAAACCGCTAGACTACCGAAGCCAGTCAAAAGGTAAGACATTTGCTGTTTTTTTTAATTGCGGACATTTTTTGTGCAATAGAAGCTAATTGAGAACAAATATTTTTACTTAAGAATGATTCTAATGTGACCGAGGATTTCCTTCAGGCCGTAACTTCAAAATTTCAGTTAGAGTGAGATGGACGATGTCATTTTAGAAAGTGTGACTGATTATGACACAGCCTGTTATCCGATTCCGGCTTCACTTCGCTACTGGGACACCTGTATACATACAGCACATAAATACAATACATAACATCAAGGTTGTCACTTTGATGGCCTTGATGATCAAGCAGCTTAACACATCGTCTTACTTCCGATGGTTGCGGATTCGATTCCTCGCACGATACAAACATTTGTATTCGTCAATGAGTATGATTCTTTCTATTGGTCTGTGTGTTTTCTAGGTATATATTACTTATCTATATATTTAAAAACTCTATTTAAGTATATCTTTGTTTATCATGGCACTAGATGGAGCTGTACAAATTGTCTTGGGTTATTATTATTATTTACGTTACAATTATTATACAGATAATATCGTTTAACTCAAATAACAATAACATCTGCGTTTTCAGTTTTCAGTCTCATTTCCATACATTAACTATACAACTCGGTATCGAAAATAAATTACAAGTTATTATTACCACTATGCTGATAATGGCGATTGTCACTTATATCAATGTCATCATTTCCGGGTATTTAAGATTTTTAAATCGATGATAATGGTAAAGCGCGTCCAACTGCGCTAACGGTTAACGATAGTACACAGTGGTGTATGATAAGATGAGTATGAGTTAAGGTCAGTTAGACCATCTTAATATTATCAGGAACTTGTCCAGTGTTGTGTAGTTCCAGGTAGTAACGCGTGGGGGCCAACCTGACGTGGTACATTACTAAGCTACAGTCCATGCGTGCCTCTCACTCATATATTTCTCAAATAGTGAAACCTCACTTTAATTGAATTATCTGCTGCATTGCACTCCACAACTGAAACACTGCTAACAAAGTTTAGCAGCTGAAGTAGATCAGACTAAACGCATAGCTGACATTTATAAAGTCGACCCCGGGTAAATTGAAATCAAATCTAATCTAATCTAATCAAGAATCATTTATTCATGTAGGACATTTTAGCCTTCGTTTATGAACATATTTTATTTTATATTAACATTTTTTCCCCACCATATCGAATTACATAATTAGGTACAATATTAATTGCAATTAAATTACCTTAAAATTATGTAGTCATAAATTAGTTTCTAATAACAAGTTAATAATTAGATTTTAATATTAGCGATTTTCACACTTATTTCTCAATTTGACAAGCGGATAACAACATCCGGCTAAAGGCAATATGCTTGAGGGAGTGTATTATCAGGTATTAAGTGATGCCTATAGGCTTGAAGAGGTCATTCTTTAGTCATATTAGTAAAGGTGTTCAAACAGAGAGAGAGGCCTTAATAATGAATATTGTAATTGCTATACGTTATTATGGGTATTTCGCGATATCACTATGATGCCCTATCCAATTCTAACGGGTATTGAAATTACGACTGCCTGAGCCGAATTTCGAACCCCTAGCAGTGCCGATAGACTAAAGTCGTATCAATAAGATCTACCGCGAGTTTGGAGTGCCGTCTGCACTCGCCCTCTATCGTCCGGTCAAGCTGTAAATGCCAGCTGCGGCCAATAGCGTTAGAAAAGTCAGAAAAAAAAACTATGATTCTACAATATGAGATATATCTTTTGACAATATTGTTGATCTCCAATGTACATGTCGCAATACCGTTTCTAATCATAGTTATTCAGTTAAACCCGATAAAATGTAGCCACGATAATAGTAAACATACAAGGATTAACAAAGGCGCAACGAGCCTTATCAACTATTGAAATTACTCAGTTTCGTAATATTTCAGGATTTCGTTTCAAGATTTCGTAATAATGAAGGTAAAATACATATGTACTAGTTGTAAAATAATTCGTGTTGAATGCCACTTACAATCCGGACCTTATCATGAAACATCGATACTACTTTGCTTGAACATTGTCTGTTTTAAATTTTAAACTTCAACGCTGTACTTAGGTTGGTCGCGAGTTCGATCCTTCGCTAGGTACAAACATTTGTATTGATGAGTCTTGGTGTTGTCTATGTATATATTTACAAAAAAAACTATCTAAGTATTAATTATTATTATTATTTATATCAGTTGTCTAGTACCCATAACACAAACTGTACTCAGCTTGGGACTAGATAGAGCTGTGTGAATAGTCCAAGGATATATTTTTTTTGTGGATGATAATGGAATGGTGCATCCGCCTGCGCTAACGGTTTACGCTGGCGGGGCACCAGTGGAGGATGATAAGATGAGCATGAGGTCAGGTCAGTTAGCCCATCGTGACAAATTCATCAGTAATTTAACACGATGGTTTCCAGGGGGAACCGCGTGGAGATCGCCCTGACATGCTACATAGCTAGCAATGGGGTTATCAATACACATTACTAACAATCCTCCTCCAAGGATATTAATAATATAGTAATTGTGTTAGACAGAAGAACAATTTTAAAAGGAAAAAAGAGATAATTTGTGGTAAATTCAGCAGGATGGATTAACTGATCTGACATCAAGCTTACTCTATAATTCTCCGCGGTGTGACGCCTGCGCAGTTAGCGCAGGCAGATGCCTCAACTCACAATCATCTATTAAAAAAAAAGTATATGTATAGGCCACAACACGAGTCCTTTCCCATTTTAAGAGTCCTGAGACCACATTCTTCCCTAGTGCCTTCAGACTAAATATGTAGACGTCAAGAAGGATGTGGCATCATCAGACGATACATACGCATTTCAGAAAGGTTTGAACTTTTGGAGTGCCTACTGCAGCATAGAGTAATAGATTAGTTTAAAAAAAAACTTAAGTGATTTACATCTGTTCCATATTCAAATTATAATTAATTAATATTAATATTTACACGCAATATCTAGACTGAGTATTTATACAGCTTTAAATGATAAAAGTACATTAACAGTTACCTACATATTGAGTTGAATTAATTAATTGATCTAGATATGTAAATTTGTTGATAGGATAAGTTAATATAAAAATAGAGATAAGTATATGAAACTATTTATTATAGTTATATCTACATAAGTACTATTATTTCTTTTATGCAACAAATACCTAATAGTTCAATATTAATAAAATGGGAGTAATATTTTAAAAGTTTGTATGAGATCATACAAAAACATTAAAAGAAACATTTTTTTTAAATTTAAGTATGATAAACAAATTTATAGAACAATAACATAGTAGTGGAATGTATATTAAAATAATTGGCATAATTTGGAAGAATAAAATGGAGAAACAGAGGCAAAAAATTTTTGTACCTACTTGAACTCTTTAAACAAGTGTGCAAGTAATAATTCAAGAATTAATCAGATGTATTGTCCTGAAGTTGCAGATACAAATATATAAGAGAAAATATAATGAAATTTCAATAAGCAAAAATTAAATTATGCACAAACAGTACAGATAAGTTCTGTTAGTATTTGGGAAAGATTATATACAAGAATAATTGATATGATATCTATGCCGATATTTATAGTCTCACTTAAAAATAAATGTATCACACACTAGGATTATTTTCCCAAATGGCAAATAGATTTGTGACTCAGTTTGTTGGACAACTTTTCACAATTTTAATGTTTTAGGACATTTAAAATAAATGCATTTAACTGTATTAAATTTACAATACCTATACATATATGTAATATATAAATTAGAGTGTGGTTACTGTTATATAGATGTGGCTGTGAATAGAGGATCATTGTACAAGTTGGAGGAGGCTTTTACACACATGGGACTCAATTGAAGAAACAAAATTAATTAAACTGGACATACAAATCAAATATGTAAATATATGGAAAATAAATTAAAAAAAAAAATCATTATTATATATTTAGATATTAATATATTTAGATGAAAAATTACTAGAATTAAAATTTAAAAAGAGCAAATTAATATGTAATTGACATATAATAGCAAGTTACACTAGTCACTATTGAACAGATAACAAGAAAATTTTATTAACATACTAGAGAGGTACCCTCTAGCAGGTGCCCATTAGTAAGCAACCATAAAAACTGAATTCTTGCTTTTGTTTATTCAATTAATACAATTATCAATTTTACAGCACACTTTAATTAGTACCATTTACATTGATATCTGCCCTACTTAGATTAATTAAGGTTCTGTTTGCACTATTATTGGTGACAGGGTCAAGTCAGTATTGTTAGTACATACTTTATTTTGTTTTATATTCAATGCTCTACCCTTTCATATTTAAGTAGCTTTTCATCTATATCAAATGGTTACAAAAATTATGAATTATTAAATCAGTGTCTTATTCACAAGACATTTTTATAACATATGAATATGGAATGATTCACACCCTCCACTAAATTGATTAGTAACTCAGATTTTATTATCATTGATTTAGTGGAAAAATTGCCAAGAGAAAGCATAGTCTCTTTCATATTAATAATAATAATAACAAAAATTGTGAAAAATAAACAAATATTTCAATTGTAATATATTCCTACTTAAAAGAGGACACAAATAATAAAGAAATACATATTAAATATGAACATTAATGTTTTATGCAATTATCTTAATGGGTATCTACTTACTGCAATGCAATTAGCTATGTCAATTGCCATTAGATATATCATACATATTGATGTCATTTTAAATTGAAATATACCTACCTAACCATAATAATTATTTATTTCATAAAAATCAAAGGACTGATATTGTAGCAAATTCTATAATAAATTTGTGTTGTTTGTAAATGTCACAGTTATATCTTTTGAGATAATCTTTTATTGTAACAATTTATAAAATATTGTTGTCATACTAGTTACCTATTTTAATTATATACACATTGTTTCTTAAAAAACCTTCAATATCTCTCACTCATCAGGTACATCAGACACCTCTGCTTCAAATATCATTCATTTTTTAAATGCTACCCATTGTTCTATTCTAAATAAATAAACAATATGTATGTACTTACTTGTACAGATGACAAATAGATCTTGCTAAGCCATTTCCAGAGCCACATGGCATAATGGCAAGAGGCACTTCACTGAAAGCCTGCTGCCAATCCAGTCGTTCAAACATGCCATTGAGGATTTCAAATAGCACACCATCGCCACCGACTGCCACAATACCTCTCCAGGCGTAAACATTTCTCGTGCGAACAAATTCACGCGCATATTGAGCATATTTCGTCACGTGTAGATCGTAAGGGACCTCTGCCTCCTGCAATATCGGCGCTATCTTCGTCTGAAATTGCTCCCTAGCCTTGCCCGGGCCAGACTTTGGGTTAAGAAGAATGAGTAATTTCTTATCGTTCACAGGCGGCGCGTACGTTATCGGTTGACTTGCAATCAAACATTTCAGCGTTGCTCTCCATTTTTGTGCTTCCTTATTGTTATCATCATATTTATCGTAAGATCTAAACCGCAGAGTTATTGTTGTGCGCTCTCTTTTAAATGTACGGCGACTACGCTTTAGTATGTATGCATAAACATATAGGTACGCGCTGATATCATTTTCATCAAGATCTCCACTGTTCTCGTCGACTACTTTGAGCTGATGTGGTCCTACAAGAGAACTACAAACGCACGAACCAGCACCAGGGCGTCGTCTTTTACTTCTCATGCATTTACTACCGACGATATCTCGTAACAAAATTGTTTGCTCCTTACAGCTACCATCGGTTTCTTTGGTCAAAGATAAACCTTTAGATGTAAGTCTGACCCGAAATACTGAGTTCTTCTTAGATAGTATATAAAATGTTTCTTGAAGATAAACATGTTCTTTCGAATCGGAATATTCACCCTCGACAACGTTCATAACGTCTTTATTATGTTGTGAACACAAACTGAATGGCGAATAATAAAGATGATAACGGTTGCGAATCCGCCATAACTGAACAGAAACTGATTATTTTGCCTGTCCAAACTGACTTAAATGACAGCACCAGTAGTTGACACTTGAAAATTTAATAGATCCATTTGCATTCGAACATTATACAGGATAAAAAAAAATATTGAGTATATTAATACTAAGTTATAGAAAATTTTATAAAGAAAAATCAATAGGTTAATGGAATTCATATATTTATAATTGATCAAACATGTGTGACATTTGACTACTAATGTGTAAATCTGTAGTTTGTATAATCTGTACCGCATAATTAATAATTAATATAGGAACGTACATTCCCTAAACAATCGATTAAAATTACATTTAATATTTCTCATTTCCGACATGAAAGTTTATTATTTTGGTGTTATTGATTTTTCTGAAATATTAACTATTATGGTAAAAATCAATAATATCTATTAACCTACATATTTTAAAAGTGCCATCATTAATTATACTTTTCTTAATATTTTATATGATAATATAAATCGATATTAAATTGACGAATGTACATCCCTATTAACACATAATAAATAAACAGGTGTCGAAAGCCTTTTTTGGTATATGTACTTTACTCTTTGGTTGAAAGCATGATTAACATTTATAACTTATATATAATATATACATTTATTTACATTTTGTAGTTCAATAATTTAATTTACACAAGAAGTAAATTTGAGAAAATCCACAGCATTTAAAAATGGTCTATAGAATACTAGAACTATATAGTGGTATCGGCGGAATGCACTGTGGATGGAATGGTAAATAAAATTTAAACATTTTTACGACCAACATCGTAACGTAATGATGCTTTTGATTTTGACCTATACTTTGCTCTTTGCTGCGGTCCAAGCAAAGAGCAAATTATAGGTCAAAATCAAGTGTGTGTAATATGTGTACATAATTTTATGTATACCTTTACAAGTCATGTCAGATAATAGTGGGAAGAACTAAACTAAAATGTTGGATAAAACTCTAGCAATGGGGTTATTAGTCCAGATTACTAACAAATCCACACACACAATCAACCGACTTACTTATATGAACATTTTATTACATATTGTTACAAAAGAATAAACTCACATTAGCTATACTATAATGAAGGAACCTTAAATAGTTTTAGCTTCAACGATGATATTTCAAAATTTGTAATTTTTAGTTAATGAACTTTCACATTCTGCATGTGATATATATTTGGATATATCACCTTGGATTACAATAATTCTGTAATAAAATTATTGCTTGATTTCAGAATCTGGATTGGCAGGAGAAATATCTGCTGCTGTGGATATCAATACAGTTGCTAATGAAGTTTACAAACACAATTTTCCTACAACAAATTTACTAAATAAAAACATACAGTCCTTAACAAAAGATTCTATTAAAAATCTTAAAATAAACACTATTTTGATGTCTCCACCATGTCAGCCTTTCACAAGAAATGGCAAGTGTTTAGATGATAATGACCCACGGACCAACTCATTTATACATTTAATTGAAATTCTAGACCAATTAGACAATATTGAATATATGTTGATGGAAAATGTAAAAGGTTTTGAGTGTTCTAGTGTCAGAAATTTATTTATTGACAAGCTTAAACAACTGGAATTTGATTATCAAGAATTTCTTTTGTCGCCATGTATAGTTGGTGTTCCTAATTCTAGACTCAGATATTATTGTATAGCTAGGAGAAATGGATCACCTTGGTATTTTAAGTTAGATAGTATTGTAAGTGATTTTATTTTACACAAAGTTAAATATTTTAGTATTAGAAATATAATTAGAAATTACAAACTTAATAATATTTTTTTTCAGATAACAACATTTCCAAAATTATATGAGGAACCTTATGCATTACAAGATATCATTGAGTCTGATGTCTCAGATAAGTACATAATTAAAGATAAATTATTGAAACGGGCAAATATATTTGATATTTGTTACAAATATTCAAAACGATCATGCTGCTTCACAAAAGCATACTCCCACTATGTAGAGGGTACAGGCTCTGTGTTCACTGATGCAGATCAAGAAACAGTCATTGAATGTTTCAAAAGAGCAAATACCTATGAAGTGGGCAGTAATGAGTTCATTGACACATTAAAAGAACTAAAACTTAGGTTTTTTACACCAAAAGAAGTTTTATCATTAATGTCATTCCCTAAAGAATATGATTTTCCTAAAGATATATCTACAAAACAATGTTACAGATTACTGGGAAATAGTGTTAATGTTAAAGTTATATCTGAATTATTAAAATTACTTTTTGATAAATAAAATATTTAATTATTAATTCAATATTGTTATATATAAAGAAAAAGAAAACATTCCATTAATAAATACTGATGGATAAAAATTATTCAAAATTTAATATTAAATATCACATTTACTAAATAGATCCATTACTTAGAACCTGTCTCGCTCTTCTTTTAGCTCTGTAGTTCAAGACTCTCATCCTTAACATAACAGCTAAGGAAGATGACGCTCCAATAACAAAAGACCATATTGTGAATTTCCAATAGGCCCTTTCTTCTAAATATGCAACTCTGTCACAACTGGAAAAATATATAAATTTATTTTCAATGTACTACATTCTGTATACTTACACAGTAATATTAATATGTTACCTCCTAGTTACAGTTTCACCATTGTCACATTTTAGAATTTCCTTGAAACTAGTGTGTATACAGACTCCTATGCTTTTACTTCTAATTTCAAAGTCTGCAAAAAAAGTGAATTTCAAAATAAGCTAAGTGTACAAAAGAAATAAACTTAAATATTTACATAGATAACAGGCCCAGGCCACTATTACAGAGCCATGTTTACAATAATTGTAAAATGCATCTGTAGATTTATGTTATTTATTTCTATTATACAATACATTTATAATATGCCTATACAAGTTATAATAAACAAGCACCTATTTGATACTTGCTTATACATATTCACTATAAAATATATACCATTATATATAAAAAGAAATATCCACAATATGATAAATATTATGTATACATATTTACATATATATTATATGATGTGGAATATATTAATACAATTATGCATATAAGTTTAGTTAGTCTATGACTTTTCTTTGGCACTAAGTCCCTATTCATGATATCTTCAAACTTACACCATACTATTTTAAGCATAGTACAGATTATTACGTACAAGTGTTCCTGCTGGTAGTTAAATTATTAATTATTAAATGAAGATCATTAATACAAAGGTAATCATAAAAAAATGCAGAATTTTGAGTTTTATATGTAGCGAACACATGCATTATATTTTTAATTACCTGAACAAGGATGACATTCACTAATTATCTTGTACGGTTGATACATCCAACAAGTGGAATTGTTTTCAGTTGGAAATGTTTTGTTTTTCATTCGTTGGCTCCCGGAAAGCGTCTCCGCTAAATGTGACTCCAGTATGAGCACGACTATAGTTAATCTAAAGCATTTAAGATATTTTAAATTAAATGAAAGTAAACAAATTGTTTAGAAAAAGTACACTTTTTAATTTAATTAGATACTTACACGCCCAGGCTTATCGTACCAAGCACCATACATCTTTTAGAACACGTTTCAAACATTGTTTATAGATTTTCATTAAATGATTCGATTTTGAGGTAAAAACTGCTTTCGGTCATTTTATACAGATGGCTCGTATTTATTTCTTTATTACACTTTATTTGAATAAAAGTCACAGTACAAGTTTACTATTATTTACTATAGATATGTCAAATCAGACATGACATTGATGTTAATTGTCAGAAATTCTGAATTCGTACTGTATTTAGTACCCTATAAAAGCAATTCTATTAAAGTTATTCTATAATACCTAGGTATGGTATAGGTAATAATAGGTAGATATTTAATTTACAAAATTTAATCAATATTATCAATTTATCGATTATTTATTATGATATTATCGCTATTAGAACATCAATAACACAACACACTACTCACAATAATCACAACACAGATAACATAATATTATATACTTTTATCAAAACTTATTACATGAGTATAGTTGTAATATCATCATGTAGAAAATTAGAACACAATATGTTTTAAAAAAAGAGTTAAATATATATTTTTTTAAAACATATTGTGTTCGTTCACATTTAAAGTTATACCTTATTATTTATCTCTATCAATTTCCATGTTGCGAAAATCTACAACAGTTGGAGCTCATATACATATGTAAAGAATATCTTGACTTTTTTTTTTACTTTCATATTCATAACAATATTTGTATACTCAATTAGTGCTATCAAAGGCAAAAGTATTAAATTCACAATTTTACATTTTTTCCTTTGATATCGATTTAATCGGATAGAACTCTGTGGTTATTTTTGTATTCGTAATAGTAACTCGAATAGTGCATGAGTGACATAACATTACAATCGGCAAATAGTATTCTGTGGTCCGCTTGTTAATATTCTTTAGTTTGTGAGTTCGTGTTCGCCATGTTTCTTGAAAACGTAAACGGAAAAGAAAGCGGCATTTTTATGTAAGTCTAAAAAGTACCTTATACAGTTGTTGTGCCTGAACGTTTCTGGTATCTGGTAGAGTAATGTGAACTCATTGTAATAGTACCTTTTCACAATTTACCATTATTATAAATTGGCAATATGGCTGTTCCATCCGAAAATTTGAGATCTTTTCATCTCTACGTGACTCATGTGGATTGTGAGGGTCACTTTCTGAAGATAAGTGGACAGCTCGACAAGCAAGCGTCATTGATGTTAGAAACTCTGTTTGAGAGCGCCCGTGAGAATTTTGAAAAAGGAATTGGGACTGTTCCTCCGGCAGCTATTCATGAGGGCATTATATGCGCAGCGAAATACAGAGACGGTATTTATTATAGAGCAAAAATCACTAACACAAACAACCTAGCTACAGGTCTTGTTGGGGTACACTTCATAGATTATGGTAACAAAGACAATATTTCCCTAAGTACCATCAGATTTCTGGACAGTTATGATCCAATATTTTTGCAAATGCCTGGTCAAGCTACTGAATATTTTCTTTCACGAATTATGCATCCTTCAGGAAAATGGGAGGAACCACTTCTCTTGAAACTTCAGAATTTACTGTGTAATGCTGAATATCCAGTGACAGTTGATGTACAAACTCGCACACTACCTATTATTTCGATTCAGTTCAAGGGTACTGATTTATCTACACACCTTGTAACAAATAGATTGGGCATTGCAATACCTGTGAATAAACAGGAGATATTACTCCTACAAATGTCTGGTGATAGTCAACTATCAAATTGGCAGCTGTCTAGCTTTGGAAATGAACCTACATATACTGAACATGTACCATTTTTAATTAATCAAAATTTTCCTATGAATCCTGCATCAGCAATGCGTTTGCAACAAAATATTGTTCCATTCAATGGCTCTGTACCACCTCCTTCATTGATCAGTCAAAGATTAATGGTTAACAAAGTACCAAGGAATTCTGTAAATTTGAGACCTCCTTCACGCCAACCTCAACATGCTGGCAATTCAGTGTCTGGAGCACCAACATCACCACCAATTGTAACAAATAAACCACTTTCACCAAAGAAATCTACTACATACAAAAGTCGTTTACTGGAACTAAACTCTCAACAAAAAGTCTTTGTATCATTTGCCGAAGAAGGACCTGAGCTTTTCGCAGTGCAGCTTGTTCCTGATGCAAAGAAATTCCAAGATATGATGGATGAAATAAACAAGCGGCCTCACAGTAGTCTTACAGAACCACCAATGATTGGAACAGTATGCCTCGGTAGGATGTCTGGTGACAGGATCATCTGTCGAGCAATTGTCATGAATTTATCTGGGTCTCAATGCAAACTATTTTTTGTTGATTTTGGTGATACTGAAATGGTGTCATATTATGATATTTTCGATATCCCTGAAGAATTTGTAAAGCCTAATGTTTTTGCTATGAGGTTCTGCTTATCTGGAGTAAAAAAGTTAGAGAAGGGTCCACACCTGACTGAGACTTTCAAACAGCTGGTGAATGGGAAAGTACTCACATTGCGAGTGGTGGCACCTGAAGGTCCTCCATTAATTCAATATGGAGAGTTGTATTTGGATAATAAGAATGTTCTAGATCTCCTATTAGCAAACATGAAAGATAAACTTCAATTCAAATGGATGAATATGTTGACTTTGGGATCAAAACAATCAGTCTTAGTGTCATATGTAGACAGTTGTATAAAGTTTTATATCCAGTTGTCAGACAAGATTGATGAGCTGAATGCTGTAATGGATGCGGTGAGAATACATTGTGAGAACAGTTCTTCACCTGGAGAGTTGCCTGTGGGTGCTGCTTGCTGTGCAAGGTTTCCTGATGATGACAATTGGTATAGAGCAAGAATTAGACATACAAAAGGAAGTAAAGTAGTAGTGGCATATGTAGACTATGGTAATGAACAAGAAGTTAATATATCAGATCTCAGAACTATTACCCCAGATCTCATAAGATTACCTGCACAGGCTATGAAATGTGCACTGAAGGTAAATATCTTGTTAATACATTTTTATTATTCTCTTACTCATAGTTTACTCAATTCTACATATAAATGTATATGGTTTTTCTAATTAGGGCTTTGAGAGTAAACCAATTGAGACAAAGACATCAAATTTGTTGGAAATGCTGGCTCTAGAAAAGACTTTGATGGCTCAAATTGTTGGTGTGCTATCCAGTGACACAATGTTAGTTTCTCTTGTTGATGACACTGTTACTCCGCCACTAGATGTAGCACGGAGGATGACTCAACTTTCACAACCAAGAGTTAGCAATGAGGTAAGTGATCAAAGTGTATTTTACATCACTGTATTGTTAAATTCTTTTTGTCTGTTTCATATTTTATGAACTTCAGTTAGATTGAGAGACATTGTCCTTTCAAAACCTTGAATTACTAAATTTGGATAAAGTATCAATAAATTGGAATTCAAATATCCTAAATGTAAACTCCAGAGTTGTTAAGTTATTAATATATTATTTATACATAAATATTTCATCTTGTAGAAAAAATACAATGATATCATTGTGGTTCTTTGCAATGTTTTCTTATTAGTTTCATATAAGTTTCCAATAAAAATAGAAATCATGTTGAATGGATTTAAAATTAATTTGACACATATTTTTTTATTAATACTAAGTACTTTATATGTTAATGCACAGTCCTGGGGTATAATGTATAATAACAATAAACATGGTCAGATTTCACTTTCTGAATACAAAATAGTTTTATATATCTACTAGGTATGTATGGCTTTACTTCTATTAGTAAGCCTACCTATAATTATGTTGATCACTGATATTATGATTCAAAGAGTTATATGTAACACTTAATAACATTTCTTATAGCTTTCACTTTAATAATAGCATAATCATTTGTACACTACAACAATGTTTGAAAATATTTTTTGTGATGTAATGGCAAACAAACTAATGCCTGACCTGTTGGAAAGTGAACATTATGTATTAATTAGAATATGAATGTATTTACAATAAAATGTATTTTAAGTATTTATATCAGTTGTCCAGAACACATAGCACAAGCTCTGGTTACCTCTGGTCTACATTATATTGTATGGATTGTTCAGGGGTATTATTATTATTATTATCATCATCATCATCATCATCATCATCATCTACGTACATGAGCAACGCCACGGATGCCACATCGTTATCGTGTGATGCTCTTGTTACTGGTCATGCGTTACTGTTCCAGAGGTGTATTGAGACGTCATGCCTTTATATCCTGTAATTTTACAGCTATGTCTCACTCTTTAAATTTGGCGGCAAAAGTAAGCTACACAGGTACACATAAAGACGATTTTGTACAAAGTATAATAACAATAATATCCTTGGCCAATTCACACATCGCCATTTAGTCCTAAGCTAAGTATTGCTTGTATTATGGGCACTAGGCGATAAGTACTTAGATTTATTTAAATTATAAATAGGCAAAAGCGACTACACCAGTTCGTAGAGACGCACCAGATACCTTCAGCTCCCCAGAAGGCAGTGTTCCGGAGGAGGGTCGGAAAAAAAACATTAGGCGCGAAAAAAGTTTCAAAGACGAACGTCGTCCGAAAGAAAACGAGGAGTTTGCACAAAGAGGCGGCAGCTTTCGTGGCAGGTAAGTTTTCATTTTAAAGGATCATAGCTGATGTATGTAACTACCTCAAATTCCAATTAATAGTAATTACTATCCACTAATACTAATTTATTTAACATACCACATTTAAAACAGGAATATTATATTACATGTACTTAATATGTAGGGATTTTTAACAGTTAATGTACACTATAAAATCATGATACTATATTTTGTTACTGAATCGTAAAACTGTAATGCACAGTTGCTTTCCTACCGTTTTACTTTTTTAAATCAGCGCGCCGCCTACTGGCTGGCGCCGTACGGCTATCTGTTCTAAATTTGATAAAAAAATAGCAAATACTTAGTGCGGTTATGGAATATAACTTCACTATTTGCGTTTTATGAGCTGCTTTATATATCGAAAACCGGTGAAAATTGTTCCACCTTGTTGAAAATATACTAATGTCCAAAAAAAATCTAATCGAATGGTCAGCTTATTATATTGTAACATTGTTCACGAGCCATTATTTCAGATATGTCGTACCTGTTCAATTTCAGTTTACGATCCTAGTCAAATATCTACTTTATAATCTCAATACCAGCTCTAGTATGTACGAATTGCCAGGTGTATTATATTTATTTTGTAACAAAAAATATAATAGCTTTCTGACTCATGACTGCTCTGACCTTCAAATCGGTTCTTTGAACCCGCCGTTGATTTAGTCGAAGTGCAGTTCTCGTTCTAACAAACTACATAATGTATAGGTAAACCTATTATTGGTATATATATGTGTTTATTGTCAATATATTGAAATTAATCTGTGCTGTGTTGATATGGAATAGTGCTGGTGTAAAATCATGATTTGTTTTTAATTGTACAGGGATAATAAGGATGGATTTGATAGATCCGCGCCAGCTAGACACAGTGAGAAGTTTGGCGGGAGGCAAGATAGAGGAGATAGGTATGTTTTAATAAATTTTAAATTAAAAAACAATTACAATTTATTAATATATTTAATGTTTTTCTGTGATAATTGTTGATGAATGAGTTACTGCGAAATATGTTCATCATAAATTGACGTTGATCAATATATCGACACAATTATTATGTCAATTACATAATTGTTTGATCACTGAAGCCAAAATACTATTCATGCATTTTATGAAATTGCTTTCAATAGCGTGTTTATAATTTGTAAAGAGTATGGGCGTACATTTCTTGGAATATTAGTCGTAGAATATACTTACAGGTATCAGAAGAATGCGTGTTCAAATCTCGGAGTGGTTACGATTTATTGTTTATTTTATCATACCTAGCATTGTCATGAGACTGAAAAAACATTTGGTATTAACTAATATAAATAATTAAACTGGTTTAGTACTAAATGGTATACCAAACCAGCATATAAATTAATAAAGTAGTCATGTATCTGAACCATTTTCAACAATAAACAAATTGTAAATCGAAATTACATTTTGACCTTTTCCTACTAAATAGTACTAATACTTAAATGATTTTAAATTATCCACTTTGCTTTAGCCAACTTGTTCAGTAGCTTTACACTATGTACCTTTGGCGGAAGCCAGTATTTACAACTAATCAAATATACCAAAAGTACATAGAGCGAGCGACTCGGCAACACGTCCCGAATCTTTACTATTTTAGCACAAACTCGTCTTCAAGCTGTAAATGCATAGGCACGTATTGACACCCTGCGTCCTATTAATATTGTACACGGGAATGTTTGTACTAATCGATAGATGAATTTTTGTTATTCTTAGTCAAAAACTACGTACGGATGGATTTGAATAAAATTACGAACAGAGATAGTTCATATCCTTAATTAAAGTATAGGACACTTTTACCCGAATCTGCAGGTATTATTCCATTACTGGGGAGAAAATCATAGTAATAAATATTTTATAGGCGTGGTGGACAAAAACCTTGGGAGAATAACACGGCACACAACGCTGCGGTGGCGTCTACGTCTACGTCTGCTCCTGACGACAATTGGGAACAAACCCCATCTCAGTCCAACCTGCAACCGTCTCCCAGCCGACCACATAACCGCGATAATAATAGAGAGAGGTAAGTGTGTGGTTTTATTAGTACACAATTATGTCTATATAAAGTAAAGGAAGACTATTGATGCGCCCACGTGATATGATCAGACGTATTATAAAAAAATAAAAATATGTTCAGTAATAACGTAAGATGTTTGTCACATTTAGATGATGATAATCCTTGTTTGGAACAATTTTAATAAATTATATCATCTTATAGATAAACATATACCTACTTTGTTTTTGGTTCATACAAGTCGTAAATAGCATCTATGTCTTGCACAGATATAATGTAGTAGGTACATATATTGCAGTAGATAAATATAATGTTTATCATGCAGTAATCAATCATTGGGCGTTTTAATGTCAAAAGTATGTGATACTGCGATTTATATAAACAATGTAGTAATGTTTAGTATAATATGCAAAAGAGGAAATTAAATCGGTAATCTACATAACTTCAACAGAAGAAAACCTAGGTCGGATCATCACGATAAACCCGGTCCAAGATCCGGATGGAAGAATAAGGATACGACTGGAGTCGGCAAAAGACTAAGGCAGGCAGCAGAGGCTGCCTCTTTAGACACCCAGAACACGCATCAGAAAGGCTCGGTGCAAGATAGATTAAAACGGTACTAGTGCTGGAGACACGCCTGAGTTTCACCTCACTTTCTATCCTGATCCAATATTAATGCTTAATAATTGTAATTAGCTTTGTCATATAAAAAATAACTCTTCAGTTTCTTTTTCAACAACTCATTTCATATAAAAATAATACTCTTTATTTTGCGGAAGCCGAATAAATAAGAGCAATAGAGACCCCTAGAAATGGCACAAATTAATACGACTTATTAGAGCTTTGTATATAGACTTTTTTGTAACATTAAATGTGTGCACGTATGAAATTTTCGTCCTTATATTCTGATGTCATAGTTCAAAAACTACAATTACTACTGCTAGATGTTGTTATGATAATGAAAATAAGTGTGATACGAAGATTGAAACACAACACTAATTTCAGTCTAAATCTACGCTCCAAAATAGTTTATTTTTTAAAAGTCGCTGGCTCTATTATATTACATGATTGGTAATATATTTTTTTTTTACAGAGACATTGAAAATTTTCCTCTGTATATTAGACAAACAATTTTGAATTGATGAATACGGGAAAATAGATGCTAATGTGCATTATGTTTGCTCGCAATTGTATGAAGAGATCACGCGATAATAATTATCAGTTTTCAAGTGAAGCATTAATATTTGTATCAGCATTGTTCTTGTTGTCTCGCCCTATTTGCTTGGTCACGCTTCGTTAGCCAGCGCACTTGTGAGCGTTCTGTGTATTTGCCGGCTTTCGATTTTATTATAATTCATTTATATTGCACCATATACGTTGTATGTTTGCAGCACATGTTTTGTTTATTCTTGCATTTACTACTGATTTCGTATATTCATTTTACACTCTATAGTTGCTTGATGTGGTGGTACCATATAATGTTAATCTTCTCGTTTACATCTATTCACTTTACATAGTAATTAATCTATTTATAACAAATATATTATAATCTGACAAATGAAATGATATAATCCTAGCGATTCCAAACAGAAATATCAAAATCCGTTCAGGTTTAGCTAAGTTATCTGCATCGTAATATACGTACAAAATAATGTACATTTATTTGAATACTACCTCTGCTTGGTAGTCGTTTCAAAATATTTGGTAATGTCATTGTTACTATGTAGCATTTTAATTTTGCAAGTCTATAAAATTTAATATCGCAGTAAGCGAATGGAACTCTGTTCACAATGTAGCCTTGCATTATATCACAGCATGTTTATGGAAAGAGACTTATTTAATTCCATTGATATACTGTCTGTTTAGATGTGGCTCCTCAGAAACACTATATGCAGCAGTGTTGGTATTCATTGATTACCTGAAATGGTGCTGATGAAATGAATATACTACTTTATAATACTGCATCTTTCCTATCTGTAATAGAATATTTAAGTTTTATGTCAATGTATATGTATAGATTTGACATAAGAATCTGTAAACTGAAGAGGAATACCTTCCTCTTAACCCTAATACTTAACTAACATGATAATATTATTTGCAGTGATAATAAATTTGGTCATGATCAAAATCAAGAAAACAGAAGTGATGACTGGGGAAATAGAAACAGGGAGAATCGGTCAGACCGTAGGGAAAACCAGGGTGAGAGACGAAACAACTGGGGAGATAAAAAAGAGAACTGGAATCAAAAGAGAGAGTTCAGGGAAAATAGGCAACAAGGTGACAGAACACGAAGTAACTTTACACCTAGAGAACGCGCTGAGCGCTCCTTCAATTCTGACTCAGACAAAAGGTCTGAAAGGAGCAACCGTTCTCAGGAAAGTGGCCGAGGAGATCGGTCCGGTCGCGCTCCGGCCTACAAAACTCGAAGCAAATTCACTCAAGTACAATATAAAGAGTTGCAAGAACCGATTCCCTTAGAGACTCCCTTTATCGAACCAACTGTCGAAATTGGCACCCAACACGAGATATCAGTTACATGGATAATATCTCCGGAAAATTTTTACACACAAATATTATCTCTGCAACCTAAATTCCTTGAAATGATGCATAAAATACCAGTATTGTATAAAGGTGTGAAGCCTTATTCTGGAGTAGTGCCTGTTGGAGCATCAGTGTTGGCGCGATACCCTACTGACGGAGTGTTGTATCGTGCTACTGTGATCGCTGTCCAGCCGTCTTCACAATTTATAGTTAAATATGTAGATTTCGGAAATAAGCAGGTGGTGGAGGCTAAAGATATATGGCAATTGGATAGACAGTTAATGGAGCTCCCTAAGATGGCTGTCCATTGTTCTTTATTAGGGGTTTCACCAAAGGACGGGGAATGGAAGGCGAATCAAGAAATAGATCTATGTTTCAATGCGCCTCGATATCAGTGTGTGTTCCAAGAATGCTTAGACGAGCAACTATACAAAGTATCACTTTGGAATAATGGAGCTAGCGTCGCAGATATGCTTGTCGAGAAAAGTCATGCTACTTTGTCTGAACATCAGTCATCTGTTACTTTGAAAGGTTAGCATACATTTGCTATTATTTTTATACTTTATTATATAACTTGGCGAACAAACTGACGGCTAAAACTTAACTTAAAATGTCAACTTTAGGCTTTATGCGAATAGTAACATTATTCAGCCTATGTGGCCTAATATGTTGCACTTCTCGAGAATTAATTTATTAGGACTCGTTTTAGCTAGTTTTATGTGTACCTATGTAAACGCAAAATTAATTACAACAAAGCCTCTTTTATAATTTTATCGTTTTTGTCTAGGTTTAAACTTCAAAATTTTGTAATTTTGAGTTGAATCCTAGATAAAAACGATAAAATTATGAAACTTTAGTTAACTGAGAGAGAAATGTAACTGTTACAGTATTTCAGTAAAGTATACTGTACTGTGTCTGACATTATGCAAATGATTCATGCGATCAATTATTTTCCAACTTAAAAGAAAAAAGTAATGTTCAGTTTCTTGCTAGTTCTTTCCAACAAAAGTAGCTAGTCAGACTGGACCCTAGTGATATTAATAAACTTGTCTTGCATAAGTGGTAAAATGTCCTATGATATATAGTATAAATGATTTGGACTCGTAAGAAAATACGATTACAATTTCATGTTTACAGATGAAGCTATCGACTTAACAATTATCGTGGGCCAACAAATCTTATGCAAAGTCACCCATGTGGAGTCATTCGAAAAATTCTACGTCCAACTAGATTTAGACAAAGCAGCTCTAGTAGAAAGTGCCATCGACACCTTCGATAAGTCACAAGTAAGTGAAACTAAATTTTATTTTCAAGTTGGTCTAATTCACGGATTTCACATGCATTAGAAACTAGCGATTAACTGCGCATACATAATCTATTTAGTAATCATTTGTAATTCAACGAATCGAATCGTTATATCTTTTTTTAGGCTCCATACTAAAATTAAAAAAAAATCCGGAATTGTTTTCTTTGATGATTTTTTTGTTATGGGCATGGAATGTGTATAAAGTTGCTAAATAACCAATAAATCACGTAAAATACTTCACAATTATTTCAGTATGTACTCTTACTTACTCTTATGTTTGATAAGTTTCAACTTATTGGCTGTCGTATATTGTTTGCAAGTTATGTAATTTCGCGAGATGTTTATCTATATATGCCTTATCCTTGTTATTAAAAATATGTCGATTTGTACGCATACCTCATTTTTTCACTCACCTTTTCATTTTCATATTTTGCACCTCAAAAATGTTACTTTATTATATTGATTATTTATATGATATGTAATATTTTGACACTATTCTCTCGAGCAAAGTTGTACTATTCATACGATGCAGTAATAATAAATTGTCATAAATCATAATTTTATATGTAAGTAACTGTGGTGCATCTAGTGGGTATAGTGGCATCCGTCACACCACACCATCATATCCCAAACTAAGCCTAGTCTAGAGCCTGTCTTAAGGGTACTAGACACCTCTTAGAAATAGTGTAATACATTTTTCGTGAATACATACAAAACACGGAAACCAATACAAAAATAATATTCAGGAATACAAACGTTTGCACTTGCGAGGACTTGAACCTGCGACCATTGAAAGTTAAACGGTGTGCTAAACCGCGGCTCTGAATGTACATAAAACTTGTGTACCACAGACATCATATACGTTTAACGGCCGTCATATGCTCTATTCGTTGCCATTCCTAATGACTACTGTGTGACCTCTATACTCTATATTCTAAGTATTATCTTTTTTAGCTTACTCCATTATCAACGGACAGCCTCGCGGAAGGTATTCACTGCACTTTGAAACATGAGGGAAAGATATACCGAGCTATTCTCTACGATGTTGCAGACACGGCTAATATAAAAGCCGTATTGCCTGATTACGGAAACTGTGTGACTACAACTTTAGAAAACGTAAGTACACTTATCTATTTTTATTTAATGCTTTGTTTTTATGGAGATAATACTTGTAAGTAATAAGTGTAACATAAGTACTCGCGAGTTCAACGGCAGGCTTACATACAATTTTAAAATTACCGCATAGTCGAGCACAATATTGCTATGGTAATATAAATTAATATAATAAACGGGAAAATATTTTTTTTTATTTGTAATAAATAACCAATAAGTTACAGACCTATTTAAAAATTCTTGTTCTACTTGTGTTATATGTACTGTATTTCTCGCCGCCGATGCCTCAGGACAGTGAAATATAAAACACTACTAATATGAAATTCTATAGTTTCAAGTAATACATTTTATAATTTTTCGTAGCTTATGATATTACCAAGTGAGCTCAGTGTGTACTTCTACCAATCCCTGGAATGCAAATTAAATAACTATACGTCAGAGTCCAAGACACTACTGTCACTTGAGGAACTTAAGGAATGTCTGACTGCTAAGAAATATATTATATACATCAACGATGTTCAGGATATCAGGTATTGTGTTTATCTTTCTTTTCATTATCTTCACTAATATCACACATAAATAAGCGTCAAAATATGGCCCTTTCCTAATCCACTTTATTTGTTTAAAGCATATTCATTCCATAGATAGTAAAAAATCTGATTATTAATAATATGGTTTTTATAAGGGCATAATTTTTACAAATACATGTGTCGTTCTAATTTTGAATATTTTGTAATCATACCATAAATTTATTTCAAATTAAAAACTGTTTTATTGCTATTTTGTTCTTCTGAAATTTATAATGGTTTTAGATACTGTTGGACATACTATGTTAGTCTTTTACCAGTTATTTTATATATTATCGGCATCAATAACAGGTCTCCAAAAAGTTGTACATATATGATTATCTTTTTTTTAGTTTGGTATCCACACTATACGATAGTGTGACTGGCCAGAAAGTGGCTATATTTGAGCCAGATGAAGGTGCATATGATGAAGTAGTCCAACTCTGTATGAGATCTGTTTTCAATTACAACTTTGGAATGGCATACATTTCTCATTCTGAAAATCTGAACGAATTTTACCTGCAAAAGTCTGGTGATGGTGACAAGATAGCACTGTTACTGGATGATCTATACAAATTTTATGAAGAAGGTAATTAATCACAAAATAAATTTTTAATGTAAAATGCAGTTTTAGAGAAATTTTACTCTGAACACATTCAGATTGTGGAATAAGTAGTGTGAGTTGTGAATTTTCTCTAGAGTTTTTGAAAAGGCATATTTGGGTTTCTATATGAGTGGCAATAGACCTCTTTTGTTCCTGGTGGTCTTACCATGAAGGCTGTATGCTATACAGTTTATATGGTATTACTCACTCCTCCATTTACAGGTTTGGAGGCATTCTTTGCCTTATGTCCAAACTGGTATATTCAATTAAAGATTAAAACTTGTCAAGATAACCTATACTATCTGCTCTGTATTATGGGGTAATATTTGAACTGTATTATAATTAACTTTTTGTCATTCCTAGGAACCCCAGAAGATCTTACAACCTTTGAAGTGGATGGATTATGTGTTGTCAAATCAAGTGACGGGAACTGGTATCGCGCAACCATTATCAGTGTTAAAGAAAATGATGTCCATGTTCAATTTCCTGATTATGGAAATACTGAAACAGTACCCAAAACAAGTGTCAAAAAACTTGATAGTAAATTCTATGAACCTTGCGCACTTGCCCTTGTTGCTAGTTTAGGTCTTGTAGCCCTTCAAGAAGACGCATTAGCCAAACTAACAGAATGGACCAATGAAAAAGAGGTTCAAGTTACTTTAGCTTTTGGTAACGATGGCTGGCTTGCAAGCTTACATTTGGATGGTGTGGACTTATCTATGAAACTTGTCAATGAAAAATTAGCAACTCCACAAATAATTTCCAATGATGAACAAAAAATTGAAACTACAGTAGAAGAACCAATTTCATTACCAGCTGGCTGTAACCAAGTATATATTAGTCATATTGATACACCAGGGCATTTCTGGTTACAGATGATTGATAAAATTGACAAAATAGAAGAAATTCAAGCTGAACTTCAGAGTAATGCGGCAACATATACGGATATCGAAAGTCGTGAACTGGGCACTTTGTGTGTAGCCAAATATTTAGCTGACGACAAGTGGTACCGCGCCGAAATACTCGACTCTGATTCTGACATAATTACTGTACGGTTTATTGACTATGGCAATACAGATGTATTGGACAACCAACCTGATTTAATAAAAGCGATACCAGATAAACTGAAAGAAATTGAGCGTTATGCTGTTAAATCAAGTGTTAATGCTGTGCCAACTGGCACGGGACAGTGGTCTGAGCCGGCATCGGACTACTTCACTCAACTTGTTGGTGATATATCATCCCCTGTAGATGCTCTAATTGTCCTGAAAGATATCACTACTTACGTTGATATATATGTTAATGGTATCAATATTACTGATAAGTTAGTTTCAGAAGGTTACGCCACGAGATCTGAGGAAACAGAATGTGGAGACTTACCGTCCTGTTTTGCTAGCCATGTCAACTCTCCATCTGAATTTTGGATACAGCTTGAAACTGCAACTCCTGAATTACAAGCTATGGAGTCAGCAATGATTGATGCTGAAAATTTCCCTGAATTAACAGATAAAGAGGAAGGTGTAATTTGCGCTGCTAAATATCCCGAAGATGGTTCTTGGTACAGAGCTCAGGTGATTGTTGACGGTTCTGAAGGTACAGAAGTTCTCTTCATGGATTATGGTAATGCATCTATCGCTAATGAGTTACGTAGTCTTCCTGATGAACTTAAAATTAAACCAGCTCTTTCAAGAAAATGCGCTCTACAAAAACCACGTGATATTAAATCTTGGTCACGAAAATCTGAAGTAAAATTCAATGAATTGGCTGCAGAAGGTGCAACAATTTTTAACGTGCAATTCATTGCATCTGGGGATATATCTATTGTAGAACTTTATCTTGACGGTAAATCTGTAACAGAGGAACTTATAGGGCTCTGTGAGGAGCATCCCACTAGTGAACGACCAACACCTGTTGGACAAGACTTATACAGTAATGGCAAAGTATGTTATGTTAATGCTTTAGACGAATTTTATGTGCAACTTGATGAAAAAGTCTCAGATCTTGACAAAATTATATACAGTCTTACTAACGCCTCCGAATTTGAACCAGCTACTGAATTGAAAGTAGGTTTATTATGTGCCGCATTTTGGACAGAGGATGAACAGTGGTATAGAGCAAAAATCCTTGAGTTTTGCGATGTTGGTTACCATGTTCAGTTTATAGATTACGGCAATAAGGCTAAATGCGAAGAATTCCGTCTACTTCCTGATGAAATTTCTCGTATAGAACCTCTCGCTAAGTGTTGCAGATTGGTTGGATACACTGAGGATAATGTATCAAACGAAAATATTAAATCAAAACTTGACGACCTTGCAGCTGATGAATCGGTAACATTCCAAATAGAATTTTTAGATAGTACCAAGGAACCAATCTTAATTAGATTATTACTGGATGGGAAAGATGTTATTGCAACAACTTCTGTGCCATCAGAAGTTATTTCAGAGAACAGAGAGGATTTCGAAAATCCAACCAGTAAAGAAATTACTGATACTACTGAAATAACAGCAGAGCTTAATAAATCTAATGAAATCAATGAATCCACATTAGAAAGTAATGTTGAAAAAGTAAATGCCTTTAATACTCAAGAAGTTGAAGAAAAGGTAGATAAATTAGAAAAAAGTGTTATAAGTGACCAACAAGCAGAGGAGCCAGTTAGTGAGCTTAGCACTTCACAACCTGATCTCGATGAAAGTATAAGTAGCACTCATACAGTAATAGAGAATAAGTCTTTTGAAGGTAATATTGATAATTTAAGTAACGAAGTAATTCTTGAAACAAATGGAGAAAAAGATTCCGATTCAACAACGAATTTGCCTGATAACGATATTTCACTAGAGAACACTTCAGATAAAAATGTTCCCACAAAAATACCAGAAAATTTATCAGCTAAAAATACATCTTCAGAAACTTCAGAGAGTATTAAAGAAAATATCCAGTCTCCTGAACGCGATGAATCGAAAGAATCCATTAATACAGATACAGGTTATACCAGTGATGGTGATCCAGATAAACTGTCACCCTCTGCAGAATCTATATCCCCTGCAAACGAATCATCGACAATAGAAGCTCCAGCTAAAGAACTAATTGCAGATTCGAAGGATAAATCCGATGGAGTTCAAGATAAGGAATTGAAAGTGTAAATTATTTAATGTGATATAATCTCATTTATCTGGCTAAAGAGACAAAGTCTTCATGACACTTATGGACATTTGCTTAAAAAATGTTATTAGTTCTTGGACTTAACTTAGTTTCTAGGTAATAATAAAACATTACACAGTGTAATGGAAAACTAAGTGACTGATATATTATTGGTAATTAGTAATACCAATTGTAGTTTTTCTTATGTTGACTTTTGTTACAAGATTCTATTTGAAATATGTGTCATATGTACTTTTATGTCTGTCATTGTGTTGTGATTTATTTAATACCAGTGTAACAAATGTGACTGTAAGTTAGACACTATTTTTTATTACTTATTATTCTTGTTACACAAGAAAATTTCATATTTCTATTTTGTTATATCTCTATAATTTAATAAGTCAGTATACACTTAATACTTAATGAACAGTAGACTACTCATTTTCATGTATCGCTGACGTAAGTACTAACTGCTCATACAACTTACTGTTTTGACTGCAATGTGAGTAGTTTTATAATACTCTCAAAATGATTTTTTTGGTATAAGAACTCTGGGATTTCTTCTAATAATAGGGAGATTTATTTATAATTTATTCATTGATTTGGATCAAGTTATAACATTAAGAACCTCTCATATTCACAAAATAGTTATGTTTTGCAAATTAATTGTTTAAAAAATAAAGTTCTTTATAAAAGTATTTATGATTTCATTTTTCTTTTTTTATTGTTATAGAATTGAAAAACTCCATTCAGTTATAGTAATTTTATTGCTTATCAAAATAGTATTCTAAAAATATACTTATAAAAACATCTGTACATGTTATTTAGAAACTTATTGTTACTTTCAAAATAAATGAAATAAAAAATGCACATACTATTATTATATACAATATTAAATATCGATAAATTTGATATACCATAGAGCTTTTCGGATCTACGCAGACAGTACAAAGTAATTTGTTTTCAGCGGGAAATTGGCACAGTACAAATTAAAGGTATGCATACAAGTGCATTCCATAGCGTAAATTGTATGCTATAATAGAACACTATTATATGCATAGTACGTTCTTATATTTTTGTCAGTGTTCTCATATCATGATTAGTTTCACAACATTAAAATAATTACAAGAACCATATTTTTTAAAAATATAATACTAAAATTTGCTACATTACTGAAATAATGATCATCCCCAAAAAAATTCAGTCACAATTTGATAAATAATGCACTATTAAGTACTAATTTATATTTATGGAATACATTTATGTGTAATGTCGTGTTCTATTGTCATACACAAAAAAAGTACGCCGAGTATCGTAGAAGTCAGCTGCGTAGACCTTTACTCTGCATTAGGATTTTAGTACAACTTACAAGAAAATAATTAGAAATTGCTTTAATTTCCAACACTTAAACAAGATCATTTTATAAGACCCAAAATACCAAAGTCCTTTAGGTCCTCCCTCTTTTCCAAAACTAGTCCTTTCTCGTTTGCTAAATGCAGCACAGATAAAAGAGCCAGTGGCACACTGAGCGATTCACGCATATTAGTCGATAGTTTGTTTGGCAATCGGGAATAAATCGAAAAGAATGTAGTCTGTGACACATCCTCTTTCTCTCCTTCTGGAGTTTTATCCGTTAGCATTTTCCAAGTGCAGTGTTTCAATTGTTTCATATCGACTTTTTTCGCACGCATTGCATAAGGTATGAAGATTTTCGCTATCTGTAATGAAAAAAGATGGATTCGTAAAGATATAGTAACAGGCATATACACTTTTTACAAATTCATATTTGTTTTTCAAAACTGTCACATTACAGAAGCAGGATGGTCCACGTTTTTGTAAAAGGTGTAATGCGTCATGCGTCTTGTTCTTTCACATACGTTGAGTAACGTAAATATGTCGAGTTTGTCCTTAGTTATCGGATCTGAGGTCAAAATATAGAACTTACTGAATCATATGTACTTACCTTAGTGGGCGGTTCAAGCATATCCCCTATTTCCTCAGGCTCTGCAGCTTTTATTTGATCATGTAGATCACCCGCGGCCGTCGCATCGTCATTTCCCCATTCGTCTCCATCCTGTAACAACGTAAAAAAGATATTATTAACCACATAGTAAAAGGGTCCATCCTGATAAATTCCTAGTGAATTTATTAAGATGGGCTAACTGACCTGACTTTATGTTCGTCTTATCATAGACGGGTGCAGTATTCCATTATCACCAAATATAAAAAAAACTAAAACTACCGAGACCGTTAGTATAACAACATAAAGGTGAAATATACTACACATACCGGCACATTGTTGGGGCAATACGACGCGTCGTTCTCATTATTGTAGTCGTAATCTCGGGCTTCTTCGACGGTGAGCGGCTCCTGTTCGGGCAGCTTAGCCGGTTGACTGTGCTCCAAGTCGCGCTTGCGCATCATCATTACGTTACGGCGAAGGAATAGTTTGCGGAAGTGGGACTCGTCTAAACCTCTGTAGATATTATTATTGCGTTAGTTTTGTTTGTTTGATAATAGTAATAATAACCCAGGACAATTTACACAAGGTCATCTAGTTCCAAGCTAAGACCACCTTGTGTCATGTAGGTTTGCCAAACCCAAATTTAAATAAACAGAACTATTCAGTTTAAAGACAGGACGCTTCTCTATTACAGAGATGCAATATTTAAATTAATATGTAGTAAAATAGATGAAATAAATTGATTGAAAGTTTTTAGATTTAAACTATTCTGGGCTTCCCAGAATATTAGAAAAACTGGGAAATGTCCTGGGAAACGAGAAAACAACTTTAGTGGATCTTATGGGTACTATATACCTAATAGAATTACTTTAGCACATTTTTCATAGAAAACAACCAGACCAATGAAATTTGGTCTAAGAATGGATTATAATACGCGGGAGCTTACATAAGCTATAGATTATTTAATGAAATAAAATATACCTATATGTAGTAAAGTAAGGATTAAAGTTTCTATAAATAGTAGACAAAGCTGTGGGTAAAAGCTAGTATTGTTTTGTATATTTATTCACCTGTCAATAGGAGTTTTGAAGTTGACTTCATTCCATGTATGTCCTGTTGCCAAGGTCTTCCTGCTAATCATTATTTTTGCAGGCTGTGTGGGTTCGTACTCGCCAGTGGGCTCTGCTCGAGAGTCAAACGCCAGACCGATTCCCAGGAAATCCAGTTGACGTTTCGTTCGTAGTGGCCTTTTACCGTCAACAGTCAAACGCCCTCCAGTTGACTGTGTCCGCTCAGATTGTTTCGAAGCTAAGAGATACACAATTCATTTTTATTCATTTATTTTATTCTTGTTGACGTAAATAATACCCTGAATTTCTAGATTGAATGGTTATTTATAAGGTGCGGATATAATAAACAAAATCACAATTCATAATATTACTTTCATGTTAATTAGTACCTCAATCAAATATGTCGAAATATAAAGCAAAAACTTGATTAAAACTTTATAGATACAAGATTATGGATATAAAAGTACAGTATAAACTTAATTTACTTTATAACCTGCCAATACTTTTTTAATATAAAACTGATAGATTAAGTTAATATTTTATTTGTTTAAGTAATAATTTAGAAATACTAAAAATTGTATGATAACACAGCGTGACTGCGATGGAGCGTTCTTAAACCTAATTTGATAAGTTTTAATAGTCAGTTTGCCGTTTTATTCGTCGCCGAATATTATAAAAAGGATATAATAGATTAGATATATCAGTAAAATACGATTAGAAGTAATGGATAAAGTTAAAAATACAAAACATAATATAATTAATCTAGGACAAGGGACAATCTAGGACTGGGGAAATTAAGATTTTTGTATTATTTTATTTTCCTACTGTCCAAATCAGGTTAAGGGGTTACATGGGTTTCACGGTTTCAAAAAATCGAAAAATTTTTTTTTGTCTTATTAAATTCTATAACATCTCTAGAATATTGTCCTAAATTTTCAAGTTGATCCGACTAATAGTTTCGGAGATACAGCCTTGAAAAGGTGGACGGTCGAGGTCAGGTATAGGCTGAGGGCGCAGTAGGTAAAACGCAGCTGCAGCTCATCTATTGTTAGCTGTAATTCTTGTCCCTTTTTTTCTTTATATAAGGTAAACTACTGGAAAATATTTCATTTGGTGATTTCTCGTTAAACTACGAAGTTCATTTTGAGGTTATAAGTGTTTGTTGTGAATTTTATTCGATAAAAAATGCCGTTTAAAGTGTCTAGAACCCAGATAACGGAAGGTGTTCGTATCAGCATTATTATTAATTATGCACGGTATGGACCTAAAACTTGGCCCAAATTGCCATGAATATGCCCGAAATATGGATGAAAACCGGGTGACCGCAGCCGAAAAGAAATCTACCAGCGAGACTCGTGAAGCCAGGATTCGTCATAGACTGGAGCAAAAGGATGCCCTGGACAATGCAGGTGCAGCAGGTTCTCTACTTTATGGCCCAGGAATCGACGAATCAACGTAAGTTAAAAAAAATAAAAAAAAATACTATCTTTTATTGTCTCTTAAAACTTTAAACGCGTTTTTCTCAAAACTATGTTTTCAAAGACGGTTGTCAAGATTTCTCGCGAACTACTCAACCGATCTTGATGAAATTTTACACAGGTCTTCGAGATATCATTTACAAGGTCTTGAACGAAGGACTTTTTTTTATTTTAATTACAACTATTTTAAAAAAAAAAATGTCGAGAAATTTTCATCGAAATTTGCATTTTTTTTATAAAAACGTCTGCCAAAAATCCAATTTTCATTTATTTTTTTTTTCCTTCGTCCAATACCTAGTTTATTGTTTTTACTAAAACACGTATTTTTTATTTTTATTTCAGATGATCCTGAAAGAAGTTCTGCTGACAACGCGGAGGCACCTTTTTTCCGAGGGACTGCCGGAAATGGCGTCGTAATGACCGCCATTTTGATATTTTTTTTTGACAATTTTGCAAAATGTTTATTAAATATGTATCTTTTAAATAAAAAAAAATTCATTAAAATATTTCATTTTTTATATGTAAAAAAAATTATTGAAAAAAGGCCGTTTTTTGCCCGAGGAAACCCATGTAACCCCTTAAATTTGATGTCTTTAAAATAATGAACTCATATGAATGTGAGTTATAAAGTATTTTTTTTTATGGATCATTATGAAATGGCGCATCCGTCTACGGTTATCGTATGAGAGTTGGCCCATCGTGACACTCACCCGAGTTGTTAACATTAATCGAATTATTGCTAGTTCGTAGTTAGTATTCAAAACGTTTCAAATTAAAAATGTTAAGTTTTATTTTTACAACTAAATTATTCAAAATAGCAACACGCAAGTTTCTTGCTCGTTCTAGTGAAGAGATGAGAGCAGATTAAAAATAAAATAACTATTACAACCTATATCTGTACGTTATTTTTTGTGTGGACTGTCGAGTATGAACTTTCTTACAGATATTAAGTACCGTAGTTAGTACTTAGATTATTCATTTTAGTTTCGTTTAGGTATCTCACTGGTCAGAGCCAACAACTATTGCCATGCATTATCATTTTGTTTGTAAATAAGCGTGCGAGTCGTACCCGTGTTGTTCTTGAGCCGCCAGTGGCTGGGCCCGGCCCAGGCGGCGACGATGGACCCGCAGTAGGAGTACTCGAGGCGCGAGTCCGCGGGCGCGGCGGGGCGCATGTCTGCGAGGCGAGCGCGGGCGGGCGCCGCCGCCGCCAGCGCGGCCCGCGCCGCCTCCGCCTCCGCCTCCTCCGAGCTGTCCACGCCGCCCAGGGGCTCCTCCTCTGCACACCGACGTCATCGTCATTCTTTTACTACACCATTTTGACGGCTCCGATTCGAAATTGGAAGAAACGAAAAGCGATTCTAATCTCGCATGATACTATAATAATAACCATGGACAAATCCTGGATTTGGTATTCGTGTGGATGACTCTTTGTCTGGGTGTTTACTTTGTATATTATTATAGTATAAAACGTAGTATGCCCTTGGTTTTTCATTACGAACACTATATTTTGCTTGTTTTCATGTGTGTATATTATTTATTCAGGGCCTATAAAATAAACTATTAACTATGATCTAGCTTACCCTCTTTCTATGGTGAAGATATTATGTATGTCAATCATATATGCAGTAATCTTATCAAATAACAAAATATAATAGTGATAACGCAGTAAAACTCGAAAGTTGGGTAGTTCCACTAAATTCTCTAGTAAAGCATCATACAAATTTGCGTAGGGCTATATTTTGTATAAATATACTTACCAAACAAGTCATTATGTATGTCATCCTGAGGTATCGGCTCCACTTCAGCGTTGACATCGAAGGCGAGCGCTTGCTGCGATAAATTCAATCGGTTCTCTTCCACCCAGTTGTTCACTCGTGTGTTACTATTACTATAATCACACAAATTAAGTCGGTAAATAACATTTCGTATAGTAAACAACGGCATTATTGTTAATAGACACCATATATAAAATATATTATATCTTCACAATTAATTCTTGAAGATGGGGTTTTCATTGGCACTGTTGATGTTTTTTTTTTCAAGTATGATAATGGACTCACGCACCCGCCTACGTATTGGTTAATGTTGACGGTACCCCAGCGGAGGATTCTAAGATGAGCATGAGGTCAGATCAAAGAAATTCCTGGTGAATTTGTCACGAGAGGCTAACGTGACAAATTCAACAAGAATTTATCACGATCGAAACCATCGTAAAAAATTTTCTTGGCAAAAGGGGAACCGCGTGGAGGCGAGTGAAGGGAATCCGACATGAAACTAGCAATAGGGTCATCAGTCTACATTACTAACAATCCCCTTCCTCACAATGAAAAATGTATTGTTCATCAAGATTAGGGTGCATGATTTCTCGAGCTTTTCAATTTCTCGGGTCTCGAGAATTCTCGAGGTCAATTTCTCGGGTCTTCTCGGGTTGTCGAGAAATTTACATTTACGTACGTTTTCTCATATTATTTGGTTCCAATAACTCAAAAAATTCAGTGGTTTTCCTCTCAAATAAAACTTTTATTGAGTATATTTAAAAACATTAATATTATGAATAAATTTATTTTTTTTTAAATAGAGAAATAATATTAGATCCTTACATATGAAATTGGCGTTTTGTCGTACTGGCCACTTGGATCTCAAATATCTCCTCTTTGGTTAGGAATTCCATTTCCAAATTTATACAGCTATTCACTTTAGGTCACTCACAGCATACAAAATGAAAAAACTTAAAATATCGCTTTATTTACGAGTACGAGTTCCGCCGTGGCACCAGTGCTACACGGTGCTAAACGGCTCGAAGTATTAATGATGTGTACGGCAGTGGTCTCGTGAAAGAAAACACGTGCCTTTTTGGTTCCAACGTTTTCGTTCTGGAAATTTCGACCTGCAAAGCAATCTCTGTGGGCGACCGGAATCCAAGGTTGATAATGAAGAATTGAAGGCTATTGTGGAAGCGGATCCATCGCAAACCCGTCCGAGTTAGCTGTTGGCTGCGGTGTTAGTGACAAAACTGTTTTAATCCTTTAGCAAATTGGGAAGGTGAAAAAGCTTGAAAAGTGGGTCCCTCATGAATTCAATGGAGTGAATCGACAAACGCGCGTAGCCTGCTGCGTTACATTAATCAACCGGCATAATAATGAAGGGATTTCAAATCAAATCATTTTCTGTGATGGACAGTGGATCTCGTACGATAATCAGAAACGCTCATTGCAATGGCATTGCAATTGCAAAACCCTAGCGAACCAACCAAATCCTGCCCCAAGCGAAAATTGGCTCAAAAAATGTTACTTGTGAACGTTTGGTGGACTATTTCCGGTGTTGTTCACTTCGGCTTTCTTAAATCTGGCCAGATGATTACTGCAAATGTGTATTATCAGCAATTGAGAAATCATAATGGAAAAGCTAGCTGCTAAACAACCGAAGCTGGTCAATCGCCAAGAACGCTTGACCACATACTGCACAACAGACAGTTACCAAATTAGAAGAGCTTCAATTGGAATGTCTAAGACAACCACCGTACTTCCCGGACCTTGCTCCAACAGATTACCATTTTTTTCGAAATTTGGATAACTTCTTGCAAGGGAAAAAATTAAACTCCGATGGGGCAGTCCAAAGTGCAAAAACAAAATGCAAAAGTGCATAAAAAGAAATGTTTTTAAAATTTATTAAAAAATTTATAGAAATACTTTGCTTAAATTAATATATTATATTTTGAAAAAAATACTTCAGGTTCCCTTACAAAACGCCAATTTCAATTTTTTAGGACCTAATTATTCAGACTTATATTTATAACTAGCTGTACCCGCGACTCCGCGTCCGCGTGGAATTATACTTCATTTTTTTACAATAAAATAATGTTTCTAAAATATAAGTAGCCTAAGTTACTCCCTATTACATCAGCTACTGCCAAAAAAAGTCCCGTTAAAATCGGTTCAGCCGTTTCAGAGATTAGCCGGAACAAACAGATCGATAGACAGACAGACAAATATTTTAAAAAGTAGTTTTTTGGTGTATATTCCGTATTTATATTCACATGCATGCAGTAAAAACCGGTTATTACAAACATACACTCCAATTTTATTTATATGTATAGACGACAGCACCATTTTTGGCTGCTTATTTAAAAAAAAAAACAACGTAATCAAAAATAGTTTCTACAAAATAAAAAAACAACATGAAAGAAAACAAAAACGTTAATCTCTTAAATTATTGCGCCGCCACGCAACAATACAAAGGGCAATTTAATTTCTATATAGGTATATGATTTCTCGAGTTCTCGACTTTTCTCGAGCTCGATTTCCCGGGAACAAAACCCATGAATTTCCCGGGAATTCTCGAACCGAGAATTCCCGGGAATGAACCCTAATCAAGATTCAATACCACAACCTTTGGGTTTCTAAGTCAGTAAAACACAAGGCGACTACGCTTTCTATCCTCTTTTTTTAAACGTCTTCTTTCTTTTGACTGGACAGTCCCATTTATTTAACTCTTCTCATCCAACTTCGTCAATACACTCCTGTGTCCTGGGTCTCTTGGGGTGTTAATTCGGCGTTTCTTAAATCTTTAGTCTTTATTAAAACAAAAAATAAAAAACTTACACATCTTCTGTTTCCGGATCCCAGTTGCTGATAGAGAACCCTGTGAATGGTTCACATATTTGATCGGTATCGTTGAACGCCGGCAGCAACTTAACCGCCAACGTAATGCGCTCGTTCAAATCTAAATCCTCAGGTATATTCTCTTTTATTGGTTCCAGAAACTGGTGGTCGGTTCTACAAAAAAAAATCCAATACAATGTGTTCGTGTTTCTTCCATAAATAACGTTACATGTTGGTAGCCTAAGTTACTCCTTATTACATCAGCTAGCTGCCAAAAAAAAGTCCCGTCAAAATCGGTCCAGCCATTTCAGAGATTAGCCGGAACAAACAGGCAGACAGACAAACAAAAATTGTAAAAAATGTTATTTTGGTGTGTGTACCGTATTTCTATTCATATGCATGTAGTAAAAAACGGTTATTTTAATGTTACAAACAGACACTACAATTTTATTTATATGTATAGATTGAAATTTAACGCGTGAAACCGCGGGCACAGCTAGTCTGTAATAAATATATATTATCATTATAAATATAACCAACCGTGACAAGGACAGTGGTGATGTGATAAAATCACAATCACCAAATTCCTGTGAAGAAATTAATGAACTGCCCTATTGGATTACGTTATTAAAACATCAAATTCCACTTGTATACCTCAATATAAGAGCCAGTGTCTTGTCGTGTATCGGTAAAGTCGCGTTGAAAGCGCGATTCGATGAGGTCACATCCCCAGTAGTAGCGGCCAATCTCTCAAAGAATGGATCTGAATAATAGAACAAACAATTATTATAATAGTCCATTCAAATAATATGGGTTGAAGCTGAAAATAAGTGTTTTATTCTCCGAACTCCCACAGAACAATGAAAACTATAACTACAATAATTGGTCCTGATGATTTAACAATTTAGAACATTGCCTTACTTCCAATAGGCTCAGGTTCATTTCCCCATACATTATAAACATTTGTATTCATGAGTATGATTGTTTGTATTATTTTGGGTGTTTTCTATATATATTATGTATGTATTTAAAAAAAAATGCATTTAGGTATTTACATCGGTTGTCTAGCACCTATACACAAGCATTGGGCTTGGACCTGTGAATTTTTCTGGTTTATTATTATTATTAATTATACAAATAATAATCGATAATTAATGCTATGGCCATTTAGTCCCACAATATACCTATATAAATGCTTAAATACATTTTTATATATACATACATTAAACATAGAAGTACACTAGATATACTCAATCAAAATAAAGTATTGTGATGGGATCGAACCCACCAACATGTTCATACATTTGTTAATGATAACTACTTTGCACTATGAGAACTGTCAGTTTGATTGGTATTCCAATCATTTAAAAACATACCAATACAATCAATAGTATCAAATTCCCCATTGAAGACTTCGGGATTGGCAGCAATGGCACCCTTTGACCTTTTCTTCTTTTTCTTTACTGGAGCAGAATCACCATCTACAGCACCTTCGTCTTGAACACCATCATCATCCTTTTTGCCTCTTTTTGTCTGTTAACCATGAAATTGAAACAGCAGAATTTAGTTTTGTTTGTAAAGTTATTACAGGGAATGGGGAGTGGATAGTTAGTTATAGGTCACATTCTGTAATACAGAAGACTACTGTAATACATAGACAATACATACAGAATCTGTATGTATTGTCTATGTATATTATATATGTATGTAATAGGTCACATCTAATAATGTATGTTACTTTCAATTAGGTTGAACTTATTGCTATTGAAAAAGAGGAAGATATTACAAAAGATGGTCTGATGATCTTAGAATGATTACCAACCCAACTCTTAAGTGAATATTTCTGTTAGATTGTGTAATTATATGTCAATTAATTAAAGGTTTCAGTTTGAAGGTGAACTGTAAATCACTTAAAAATAAAAATCTTACCTGAGCAGCTTTACACAATCCTCCAGCCATTTTAAGCACATCATAATGCACAGCATCAACTCTAAATGAATATATTCTAGCAGATGCATCAACCACAGTGGATGCAGTCTGTAGATTGTCCATACGGGAGTCATGTCTTCTAAGCATTGATGTCATAAAGTCTATCAGTTGCAGATTCCATGCATTGTCCTTGTTTATTTTCTAGAAAAATATTAATGAAATTGTCATTAAAAATTACACTTAGATAATGTTACTTACATTTCCTGTTTCTCTCTACAATAATAAATTTTTTACACAATACAAAATTTTCATGAAAGGAACTACTATATTTATATATTAAAATTAATATTTATAAATTTCTTGTAAAATCATCAAAATAATTTTATTTCATTATTCTATAGCACTAGTAAAAAAATTTTGGAGTTTACAATAATTATGTTTGAAAATAAATAAATTATATGATTATGTCAATAAAATTAAATAAGCAACGAATAACTATTAATGTTTAGTGTAAATAATTTGGTATATAAAAATGCATTCAACTCTTTTTATCCAGAATAAATACTATATCAACTGTGGTAAAGCCAACAAAACAACAATACATGAATAGCAACTTTTAACAACAATCTTATTAGACTTTGGCAAGTCTATGTATATTTATTTCATGCTTTAAAAATAAATAAACATTACTTTTATCAAAAAACTACAATTTTTAGAAAACAAAAAGACTAACATTTTCAGCATAAAGCTTGAGGCAGCCCTGGAAATGTTCCTTTTGAGGCGATGATGACATTGTATCACGACCTCTTCTTGGAGAGGCCAGTGGTGTTGATGTAACCACTGCTCTTTCTGATGCCAGCAGGGAAGACCTTTCTGCATCATCATCATTGCGATCCTAAAACAAATGCATACAATCACAATTAATTGTATAAATAAGTATTATATCATGGTGAGTTGTATTAAGTACTTGTAAAATTTAGAATAATAATTCTTAATATTATAAAATTATCTCTCTCTCGTGAATTAAAATTGTATAAAAATTCCTTTATATTATTGTATTGTAAATAATAGATGCAAAATATGTAACATAGTACTACTGCAACTGTCTCCAAACAGGTAAAATAAACAAGACACATAGTGAACTATATATTAAAAATTTTAAATACGATGGTCTATATTAATTACTAACCTCATCTCTCGATTTAGTTAGCCGAGTTTGTTGTGTAACTAGACTCCGTCTCCGTATTGTATTACTGTTGCTCCCGCCAATACTTTTTCTCGTCAGTGCTGGGGTGGTTGTAATCGGATTGTCTATCATCATATTAAATATTTTCCATAAATTTGTATACAGAATAGTAGTGTAATAAGTAAGGCCTAAAGATTTCTTGTAAGCATTTGCAAGAACACCGTGAAAACACAGTACAAATTAAAACTCAACCGTTCATTTCTTTCAATCAGTCGAGGAAGTAAACAAACCATAGATAATTTATATATTTTTTTTATTTGCCAAATAATGCTTTATTTGTCACACTACTGTGTTAGTAATTTACTCCGGTTTTTTTAATAAACTGGAAAGAGCCTTCAAATTAAATTGTTAAAATAATAATAATGGCCAACAATGAATTGAATGTATTTTATACCTATTGATTTTCTTTAGCCTTTTAACCATGCAGAATATTGAAAAAATTAAGATATTTTAAATCAACACCGGTTTATTTTTCACGAAAATGAGAAATAATAAAATATATTACTTTGCATCAAAATACAAAATGTGCCTCTAACATTTTGTATTTTGATGCAAAGTAATATAGGCAGTTAATAACGATAATTAATTTTTAAATTTCTTGGTTTTATATCGATTTAAATAATAGGTTGGGCATAGACACAAACGTATAAAAAAAATTGCAATTGTCTGTGCCACCTTATCTCAGCTGTTTGTAAACGCTCCGCTTGTTACCAACTTCCCGTCAGTCATTTTGTTCTGTGGCTGTATTTTCACGGTCGTCGAAATCTTAAAAAATCTTTGTCATCGATAGGTTTTATTTAAAGTGACATTATGAGTTCTCGAATGCCTGAATTAGGCTCGAAAATAAGCCTAATATCTAAAGCTGACATCCGTTATGAAGGCCGACTTTTTACCGTCGATCCCCAAGAATGTACCATCGCTCTGGCTAGCGGTAAGTTGACAAATTGCAACTATATTTAAAAGACAATTCTCCTATTGTACTACATATATTTCCAATTAGACTAATTTTTGGATGTTCTTTCCCATTAAGCAGGTTATTAACGTTTTCTTACTGTACGACAGTTGGTTTCATAAATTACGTAGTCGCTTTCCCTCCTGTATTTCAAGTGATTTGTTGTTTACTGTTTGAAAAAGCAGTAATAAAATCTTCGTCATTTGCGCATTATTTGCATTTCATTGTTAATTATGACCAACGTAACTTGAAACACGTTGTTTTGCTTCTACCCTCGAGTCCTAATATAAAACTAGTATTCAGTACAAATAACGCCTTGATGACGTTGATAAATTATTAAAAAGGTAATAAAAGCATATAATTCTATAATATTGGTCCACTAAATTGATTTATAAGGACTAAAGGACTTTTGTTAAAATTCTTAGACCAATAGCTCCTTTAATATTTAGATATCTTTATTCTCATGAATAGTCTATGTTACATGAAACAATATGTTTTCACACAATATCTGCTGTAGAGGGAAAGAAATTTTAATATTCACAATGGCAGTATTTATAAATCTACCTACATTGTTAGTAAATTATTAAGGAACTTAATTTTTTTATTGTTCTTACACAGTTCGATCCTTTGGTACTGAGGATCGTGAGACACAGTACCCTGTAGCACCCCAGAGCCAAGTGTATGACTACATCCTCTTCCGTGGATCCGACATCAAGGACATCAGTGTGGTCAACAATGTGCAGTCCTTGCCAAATGATCCTGCCATTATGCAGATGTCGGTGCCACCATCGCTTGGAGGTGGCCAGGCCCCGCCAGGCCAATTTGCGGGGCAGTTCGCTCATCCAGTTGTTGGTCAGACGCAGTACGCCCAATACCATCCAATGGCAGGGTTCCCGGGCAGTGTTCATGCTCCAATCAACAAGACCAGTGAGTTGTCTCCACAAACATCGGTGGAGCTAGTCCTGCAGCCCCAACCTGTGACTGCTCCAATCGGATCAGGGGTGGCACACCACTCCCATCAAGTGAAAGACCAAGGTTTTCCTATGGTTGATTTTAGCTTTGGCTTCTCCATCATGCTATGTTGCGTTTTTTGCTACTCACTGACATAAACTTATGCCAAATTGTTATGTTATTCATTATATTTAAAATAATATAAGTATCATATGTATTTAAAATGGCAAGTGTATGTTTGTGAGTTGTTCAGCTTTAATTTGTATTCTAACAGATGCATGCATATAAATTTATATATCATATACATATTTTTATAACTTTTATATGTAGTATCATATTTTACCTTTACTTTTTTGCACATTAACCTTTATTTTAATATATTTTTATTATATTATGATAATAATAACTTAATATTTTTTTAAAAAACATTACTTGTTAAAATTATATTTCCTTACAGATATAAAGCCACAATAGTAACATACATATTTATGTTATTTACAAACTATAAACTTATTTATTACAAAATATTTATTTATATAAATAACAGTTATAATTATCAATAAAAAAATCGCAACCTACATTCATATTCCTTGGTCTATTGCTTGTTAAAATATACCTATGCAATTGAAATAGAATTTATATTCATTAAGTTATTTGTAAGATTTTATTGAACTTATAAACCATTATTTATTGTAATTATTACCCAAAAAATTCACACAATATATTTCTATGTATAGAAATTTCATTGCAAACAAATTCACATATATAATATAAACACCGACTATGCTTTCAATTCATGGCGCTTTTTAGAATAAAATTTTTATAATCATACTATATCACTTCTTCCAAAAATTTATACTTTGGTGAAAGTGTAGAAGTATGCGTTACTTCTTTACGTAGGTGTTAATGATGTTATTCATTCTTTTAATTCTATTAGATATTCTAATATTGATCAGATAATTTGAGTCACTGAAATTATCCTTAATATCTAATGGTAATGTAGTGTTTATACATAATTATGAAATTAATAAAATTAGAAGTTATCATTACAGAAATTTCATTCTTGAATAAAGTTATTAAACTTTTTTTTATACTTGGTATATTACAGGTAGTATTGCATCTTTGCAATCACTCATTTCCATCAGTCATTTGATACCAACAAATAATTTCATGCACTATTATAATTAAATATGATAAGAATTATATGATTATGTCAAGATATTTAATAATATTTGTTTTGTTAGGTTCTATGCTTGACCTTATTGGTGGGTCTCAGCAAAATGCTTCACGCTCTGGAACTCCTGCTGTTGGTGGCCACCGAAAGAGCCCTACTGCAGATCAAGGAACTCAGGTATAGTATTTATATTTGTATATCATCTTATTCTTCAATTTACTGGTATAGTTCCAGAAATTGATTGATTAAGTTTAAACAATCTGGCCAGTATCCTCTCAAGATGTTCCTTTTCTGACCTGTGGGATATTAACGTGAATTCATGATGACATATTCAAATTCAAATTCAAAAATCATTTATTCATGTAGGACATTTTAGCTGCTTATGAACGTCAAGTTTTTACATTATAATTTTTTTTTCCTACTGTGCTATTTTTTAACTATATATGTTATATTATCGAACAGGTTTTATAGTAAAGTATTATATACACTATTGTATTGGGCCTAAAGCTGTAATAATAGTTATGAAAATAAATAAATAATGTCTTGCAAATTTGTTATACATTATACTACTGTTTTATAATAAACAATTCACATTTTTTTATATGACTGAATAGCAAAAACTCTTACAGTATGCTAGATATGTACTAAGGAATTATTATTATAGAATAATAATATTTATTGAAGTACTATTATTAATTAAGCTATATAGATATGAATTAGATATTTAAAAATGACAAAAGTGCTAACATTTGTGACTTGTTCTAGCAGGTGGGGTCCGTTGCGGGAGGCTCGGGCCAACAGCGGGACAGCCGTCGTGGCAGTAGCTCTGGAGCAGGCGGTCAGAAGCAACAACCCAACCGCAATAGGACAAATTCGCGTAACCGACAGCGGTATCCGAGTGGCGGTGCCAACACGGCCCCCGGACCCCAGCAGCATCAGCAGCCCCAGCACCAGAATGCTCAACTCCAACAAGGCCAAGGTCATCACCATCACCAGCCTGGTGAGTTCACTTAACATACAACTATACCGTCTTAACTGTAATTCTAGGGTAGGCAAAGACATTGTCTAATGTCTATGTTGTGGTGAATGCGACAGTTGACATCAATTTCCATTACGAGTAGTTTATTTTCAATCCTACGTAAAGGGCGAAACTACGGCCGTATTATTACGATTCATCACAGAGTAAGTCAGAAATATAAATGAACAGCTTTTTTTTGTGTAGCCAAAAACCTCGTGGGCATAAATCAGGGTAGTAAACCACAAAGTTGGTCTTATGAAGCGGCTGAAAGCCAACTCCCGCCTGACAGATTCGACTTTTGCCCGAGGGCACCGCTAAGGTTTCAAACCTCGGCTCAGGCTGTCATAATATTATTCAAGATATATTAAGATCAATTCAACTGTTTAATCATGAAAATGTAAAACAGAGACACTTTCCATTTGTAATATTATAAATATGTATTTTATTATTTTAATAGGTCAAGGGTATGCACGAGGCGGTTGGAGAGGACGGCCGCGCGGTCGTGGGCGCGGGTTCGTACAGCGGAACAAGAACACTCTTAAATTTGATAATGACTACGACTTTGAACAAGCAAATACTGAGTTTGAGGAGCTGCGCAGCCAACTTGCGAAGACTAAGATTTCTGATGGGGAAGTAAAGACAGAGGTGAAGTTTCTAGTTCAAAACTATTACAGACATTTTACATAGGATAGTCGATGTCCCGTTATCTTAGAAAGTCTAATTGAATGGTGACAAAATAAATGTGGGATCAAATTATTTCATAAATTGAATTAAATTTCGATGGAGAATTTACAGTACTATAAAGATAGGGGTATAATGGGCACAAAAAAGTCAAAATACAATTGATTTGCCAAACAAGTTATTTTAAACAATTATTTTGTATTGTTTGTTTTATTTAACTTCAAATTCTATTTTGTTGGGACCAATCAACTAAAAGTACCTAATAAATATATAATTATATTGTATATCTAATACAATTTTATCGTATGTTTCATAGGGTGCTGAGGTGGATAAGAAGGATGATTCTGGAAATGAGACTGGCGCTGGCGAGGCGGAGCTTGAAGATGATGGTTTCGCTGGATACGATAGGAAGAAGAGCTTTTTCGACAGCATCTCCTGCGAGGCTGTTGAAAGGTATATTATGCAAAAAGCCATCTAATCTTTAAGAGCAAAATTGCAAATGATATGAATCCCTAGAAGACTCCAAAATTCAGAATAGTAATTTCAAAATAAAATGGTTGGGTTAAATCTTTAACAGTGAGTTCACTGTCACCATACTTGATAATCACAACAAAACATTCACAATTTTACTGAATTTTACCATAACATGTATAGGACAACTTGAAAACCATTTTTCTTAATGATATTTTAATATTTATAAATTTCACTGACTTTTCAGCATTTTAAGAACATATTGAGGTTCCATAGGTAATAAAAAAGTGTTAATGTATATTGTCATTAACGTCAGGTCGAAGGGTCGCAGCCAGCGAACAGACTGGAGAACGGAGCGTAAGCTGAACGCAGAGACGTTCGGCGTTGCGATGGCGCGGCGCGGTGCGTGGCGTGGACGGCCGGGCTGGCGACACCAGCCGCACCACAACCCGCACCACCAGCCGTGAGTCTCCACCACTGCCACTACAACAAACCATAACATCACCACCGAAATCGACACCCACCACCAGTACAATGAACCATACCATTAAACTACCTAACCTATTCTGTCGTCATCACTCACCCCCGTGATCTACACCCACCGTCACTACAATAAACCATCGACCACAATTGACCAGACTACTTTCTTATGCTAACGTCATCCACCTCCATTACACACCCCAACTTACATCAACCACCGCTACAATAAACCATTCCATCAACTGACCAGACTTCTTTCTCATCCTGTGATCAGCCACTTCTATCCATCTCCATCACCACTACCATACCACCGTAACGTACACCCACCGCCACTTAATTGAACCCTAGCAGGAACCGATCACATTTCATTCTTATCCCTTTTGCCGTAAGCGTAACTGACCGTACCGACACTTATATGTATACAACCGATATAAATACATTTTACAAATAGTTGGAATGAGAACAGCAACCACACTGTAGAGTAGTATGTCGTACTTCCCCAGCTGGAGGCCGATGCGTGGTGGCGGCCGCGGTCGCCCCAACCCCTCCAACCCCAACGTGAACGCCAACGGCAGCCGCCAGCCCAGGAACAGCGCGCCCTCCGCCAGCGCCGCGCCCGCGCCGCCCTCCGCACACTCCGCCTCCACGGCAGGTCAGTAGCCGCCGACAGTCGCACTCCGCCTCCACGGCAGGTCAGTAGCCGCTGACAGTCGCACTCCGCCTCCACGGCAGGTCAGTAGCCGCCGACAGTCGCACTCCGCCTCCACGGCAGGTCAGTAGCCGCTGACAGTCGCACTCCGCCTCCACGGCAGGTCAGTAGCCGCCGACAGTCGCACTCCGCCTCCACGGCAGGTCAGTAGCCGCCGACAGTCGCACTCCGCCTCCACGGCAGGTCAGTAGCCGCTGACAGTCGCACTCCGCCTCCACGGCAGGTCAGTAGCCGCCGACAGTCGCACTCCGCCTCCACGGCAGGTCAGTAGCCGCCGACAGTCGCACTCCGCCTCCACGGCAGGTCAGTGGCCGCCGACAGTCCCACTCCGCCTCCACTGCAGGTAGTAGCTAACGTCAATCGCCGACAGTCGCACCCCGCCGCCCGGACTGGAAATCTGAGAACAGACTTTAAACTATATTCATACTACTAATAGATGAGGGTAGTCCACTCAATAATATTTTTTTTAATTATTTAGCCAATTTTTTATTTTAATATTTTTATTCCACATTATTAAAAAATAAAAGGAAATAATCACCCAAGGCTTAATGATCTTATTTTTTAATAGCGTTATTAGTACCAGCAAATCAAATTTTGCCGGGTCAGCTAGTATTTAATAAAAAATTACAAGCCGTCTCTCGGATTAATTTAATTTATTATCGTTATTTCCATCACACACTTTTTTGTGTTAGCCAGATTCGAACTCACGACTTTCCGTAATTTCGCATTCTTTCCGCCCTCTTAATACAAACTAATCTACAATGTTTTTTTCTTTACAGCCAAGTAGAAGAGGATGTCCCCACTACAGAGAATATACCGAATATTAACTTATTATCGCAAGGACTAATCACAGATTGAAAGTAACGGAGAAGTGTTTGTTGGTGTATGTTATAAAATTGTTCATAATTGTAATGCAATCAGAAATGTAATGTTGTATTTTGCGGGAAGGAATATCGTGGTAAGGATTCAAGTAGATGGACATTGTTTTGGTGTGATAGTGTTGTATCCAATATTATGGAAGGTGTAAGAAGGAAATTCCCGTAAGCATGCGACAAAGCGTTGCGTTCGTCCGGGATGAGCTCACTGTTAGTGTAAGTATAGGAGATGTGAGTGATGCCTACTCAATGTTGGGCAGTTAATCAGTTAAATTGACTTGTATGTCATGGAATGTGATTGTAAAAGGTAAATGTGAACGGCTACATTATGTGATTACGGATGGAAAACATCCCTCTCCTAAACTGGTGAGATAGAGCTATGTAAAAGTTGTCTCGAGTAAAACAATTCGAGGCTAAGACTATGTACTAAGGAATTTGCATAGTGTAATTTGAAATATTTTCAATGAATTATATTTTCATAAAGCTTCTCACCTGTTATCCGCGTTTGTGCCTATTTAAACTGTAATGAGAGTTAAATTAATATGTGCGTACGTTTTATTATTTCCAAAGAGTCATTGCATTTCCATGTTTAGCAATGACTACGTTTTGCGGCAGTCCTACTAAATAAAGCGTGTTCCTATAACGCATTGAAAATTTATTGTATTGTATGTAGGTCTCCGATTTATATTCTGCTGGCCAGATGGACTCCGTCTTTTGTCAAGTGGGCTAATGACCGCTTATTGTACGGCAATTAGCCATAGATTAAAAAATGGGTGTGACTCTGTTTTATTGACTGTCATTATATTGTTAGTTGTAGATAAATAAAATGTGATAGTAGGACTGCTGGTCCGGTCTGATGACGATGCCACTGTATGTGCCGCTCAGTGCTACCTTTAGTTAAACAAAAATCTCTTCGTTTAGTGTATAGTTTTAATGGAAAGTTTATAGGAGCACATACGAATGGGGGTTAATCAGTGGGCATCGCCATTTTGATCATTGCCAGAATTTATCGAGCAACTCAATTGTTTTATCACACAAATATAGTATGTATAAATTGTAAATGTTCTGAAAAAAGGACTTAGTTTAATTTCATTCATAAAAATGGAACAATTTGTCGTAAAATATGTATATTCTTACAAGTGTTTGGTAAGTCCTTTTGATGTGGAAATTTGAAACAAAATGTTGACAGAAATAGGATATATTTGTAAAAATCTTACTCAAAAAACTGTACCTGGTGATTGTATTATTATGGAAATATACCTTTACAACAAATCTTCCAAATAGTGATATTATTTTAAAATAATAGACCCCTTTTTTATTATCTTTTATTGCAAATGGTATTGTACAATAAAATAGCAATAGTTATATCAGTCGATAATAAATAACAAACTCGCTACAAAACGTATAAATAAAATATCAAAGTAAAACCATACAATGATATAACAAATACCAGTTAATTTCAAACAAAATGTTTCACATTCGTAACTTACCTTTAAAAGCATTAAAATACGTACGAGCTTAATCCATAAATAATTTGTATACAAGAAGTTTACCAAGTTTATTCAATACAATATTTAGGAAAGTACACAATACATGACTTACGTATCTATAATTAATTAATTTACATTATGTAGAATATTTTTATAAAATATAAATACTGCTTACACAAGTCTATTCCTACTGGAACAAAATATTTACACAACCTCTTTCACCTTGGCTCTATTGAATATAATATTTCATAGGATATACCAAACCAATTCCTCCTGTCCCGTCAGTACAAAGTGTACTTTCGTTTCAAAATCCATTATATCGAACTATTGAAATGTTTTCTAATCTTATCTGTCAATAAAAATATTCATGAGAGTAATGTCTTAACTGTAGTATTAATAATCTTAAAGGAGTTTTATTTATTTTTATAAATAAATATAGACATCCACAAAAATTGTCTTTCCATCTAGGAGCACTGGTTTAGTGCACCGTATAATACGTATATTGTGAGTATTATCTATAAGATTCATAAGCATATTGTTGTTGGTCTAGTTCTATATAAAATATTGTCATCTATGTCACTAATGGAGGTTCTTTAAAATAAAATCTTGGTTATAACTGTAATTATTCATCCACCATTGTCATTCCCGGAGGTATTTCGGCACATTATTCATAAGAATGACTTGGAACGCTAATTATGAGATTATGTAGATGATTTGTACAGCTAAATACACTATTCGTGATACCATAAAGGTCAAGATCCACTTCTTTTTGACTTCGTTGTCAAAAATTGTAGTCAAATTAGCAGGTAATAGTGTAATCAGCCAGTCCAATGATATATGCAAAATTTGACTCTAGCCGCGCCACTCCCTGGCCTGCTGCCCATTCTCCACGACCCATACAGAGCCGCTCTGTGCCTTCGCTAGAATATCTATCAGCGATCGGCCAACATGCTCAGCGCTGTAAAAAAAATGTGAACGTTGTACTTGTCATTGGCAATACAAGTATCACATATACCCAATTATTATGAACATCGAAATTTCTAGTCGATACTAGCTGTGCCCGCAATTTCTAGCTTGTGTTATTAGAATAAGCTATTTTAATGTAAACTTTCATTAAAATCCATTCAGTAATTTTTGCGTGAAAGAGTAAGAAACATCCATCAATCCATACTTAAAAATCCGTGTTTATAATGTCATTCAAAATAATATACTATAATTGTCGTAGGGTAATTTCGAAATGTGACCACAATGAGCCTGGGTGTCATAAATAATATTTATTTAAATAGGGTCAGATAATTTCAGGATTAATCAAATAAGGGATATTTACTTAGTAACAGTAAACAATAGCAAATTATTCTTGTAACAAATAATAATCGAGACAAAACGGTCTATAATACAGAGGGGGCAGTGAGTCCACCCTCTCTGCTATTCTGTTACACCTAGCCTTTATTAGTAAATTAATACAATAAAAATCAACGGCGAATTACATTCATATTAATTAACAAGTATTGATTTAATTTCCAGAATTATAAAATGAACGAAATAGTAAGTGTTGAACATAAAAATTGGAATAGTCTTTAGAAGTGTATAATTCAATAGTCTTACTTTTGGGCCTTACTATTCGCGTTGTCTCTTTGCCAAGCTGCTTCATACTCCGACGACATGAGTTGTTTACGTATCTCTTTGACCAGGCCGGTGTCTGTTAGGCCTGGACAAATCACCAAACTCCGCACACCAGTCAAATTCACGTGGTATTGATCCTGGGAAATTTCAAACGAAAGTGTTTTCTCCAGATGATAGCATGAACTACTACTAAGTATAACGAACAATACATATGTGTACTATATATTAATTTTTGCATTAATTTTAATTAGAGTTTCTATATAAGCATGTAGAGTATTGGCCTTTCAGAAGAGAATACTGGAGTAAAATGACAGCCCCGATGGTCCAATGGTTTAACACACCGCTTTAATTTCGATGGTCCTGGGAGCGATTCCTCGCGCGGTGCAAATATTAGTATTCATGGATATGATTGTTTATATCGGTCTGGGTGTTTCTATGCATAATATATACGCATTTCATATTAGTTGTCTAGTGCCTATAATACAAGCTCTGCTTAGCTTGGGACATAGCCCATGCTTATCCTAGCGTCCTCCACTGGTGTCCTGTCAGCGTAAACCGTTAGCGCATACGGGTGTACCCCATTTACGAACTTACCCCATAAGCTCTGGTGAGTCCAACAATAGCGTAGTTGGTAGCGGTATATATTGGTGTGGAGACTTGGGGTCTGGCGAACGCAGTAGAGGCCGTGTTTACAATGGTACCGCCCTGTCCGCCGCGGTCCTTACCCATGTACCGGTATGCGAGGAGAGTTCCTCGGATCACTCCGTTCTAAATTTAAAAAAAATCAATTTAGCCAAACGAGCTGATAGTCTACCTGGTGGTAACTGCCTACCGTTGTCAATATACATACACAGTCATCATGTGATGCCCGTAGGTACTAGGCCTAATACCCCTAACAGGAGGAGTGAGCTTGTTAGTAATGTGGACTAATGATCCTATGCTAGCAATGTACCATTCAGATCAGGTTGAGCTCCACGCGGTCTTCTGTAAACCATCGGGGTAAATTTCTGGTAAATTTACCTCGATGCGATGGGCTAATTGCACCGATGATGCTAATGTATGCCGTTAGCGCAGGCGGGTGCATGTTTCCATTATATAGTATTTAAAAAAATACCCCTCACGCGTTGTCGTTACTGAAGACTACGGTAAGCGGATGTTCTGCTTGTAATTGAATTGCTAAATCTCAGCCTCTAATCAAATACAACTTACAAAAAAACTGCTTTGCCGCTACTGAAATATGTGATAGAGATACAAGTCTCTGTAGACTTACTATCCGGCATACCGTAAGACTGTTTACCATTTTGGTTCTAAAAAGTATAACTAACTCAATCATTGACTCATCTAGTGAGTAGTCTGGATTTAAAATTCCCTGGGATTATTTTGGAGCAATGAACTCACTCTGCCTGTCTACTACTAAAAACGTTTCTTTGATTTGTATTTTTTTTTTATTTATAACAAGACGAACGCATAGATTCGTGTCATTCGGGTTAAAGTATTATTAGAAAACTAATTATAGGATGTTTTAATGAAACTGACGTTTTCGTTCCAGTAAGCACAATAATGTGACAAAGATAATGCAAAAAATGTACTTTAATGTTTAATGTTTACTAATAATTTTAATTATATGTGTACCTATTGAGAGACTGTTATAATTTTATCAATAGATATATGTATTTTACTTTCGCCTATACTAGAAAACCATATACCTATAACTATAAAAAATATGTCCATTTGTACTATCCTATGATGTCATGTCTCTAATCGAATACTTTATTATATGTAACTATATTAGCTATGTATTTGCCTAGTTTCCATAATATCAAGGTACGGTACGACTTACCAAATTTACATCCACTTCCAATTCCCAAAATCTGTCATTCATGACGCCAGCATTGTTGATCACGATGTCCAGTCGACTGAAGACTTTCATTGTCATTTCGAAGGCTTCTACAATATTAAAAATAATTCAGTTCATAACTGTAGTACAACAATACTATTATATATACATACAAGATTGTACGGGCAATAGCGCAATTGGGTGAACTGCATTATGCTGCGCCATAGAATATACGCCCGTATTACTTTTGAGACAGATGTAGTTTGATGGCGACTTTGTGCAAAGTCTGTGTTGTAGACATCCTTATCATAAATAGCGCCCCTTACAGACCAAGAAGAATTTTTACTCTATTTGCAAAATATTACGATCTATAATGCTCGTAAACGTAAGGTACATTGTGTATTGTTTAGTGTAGGTATCTAGGGTGAGTACACTTTATCTAGTCGTGAATTCATAATTCCATCACCGAAAATAATCTATGCTATCCATTATACATACGTTTATCCTATGCCATACTTTTCGGCATAAACTGACTTGTAGCTTGTTTTCGAATGTAAGTAAACTTAAATCCTCGGTTTAATTACTGTTCGTAGTTATACCTCTGATTATAGTTTTACTCACCTTCATATTGCGGGTAGTCTGTGACATCGCACTGACAGAATAACACATTTTTCCGACCATACTTGGCGCCAAGTTCATCCGCGACCTGTTCTCCGACTTCAGAATCAATATCGCACAGCGAAATCTGCAAAATGTTCATAAAAGTGCAAACTACAATATATAAATCCCTCTGAGTCATGATACCGCTCAGAATTGAAAATAAAAATTCGACGTCGGACGGGGATTGTTAGTAATGTGGACGTACAACTCCAATTTTAGCTTTTTGGTACATTATATGGCCAGGTTGACCTCCACATGGATTCCCTCTGGAAACTATCGTGGTAAATTTCCATTTCTCAAGATGGGCTAAGTGACCTGACATCAAGCTCATTTTATTATCCTCCCTCCACTGGTGCCCCCCGACGCGCCGCATAACCCGTGAGCCAGCAGGTGATCCATTACCAATACCTGGCTTGATCAGGCATCAGGTTTAAACCTACAAATCTAAGTAGATACAATACGCTGGAATCATGAAACTTCGATGCTATTTATAACAGATATTCTCCGTCCTCCACACATGTAGTTCAGAAATACTTGGAAAACTTAGTTCAAGTTATTTTTAGTCAGGTGTGACACATAATGAAATGCAGATTTAGATAAAATGGAATGGATATAAAGAGCATTCGGTCATTAATTGGCTCAGTAGAAGTAACATATCAAAAGTATAAATCAAATAAAAAATAATTTATTGATGTAGGATATACATTTTTTCTACCATCCAGTTCAGTATATGGAATCTATATAATGGTTAATCTAAATAATAATTAAGAACTGGCAAACTCAATAATATTTCTTTTTTTGAAAAAGGCCATTTATTATCATTATAGGTGTTTATGTCTAACATTAAATAAAAATTGCGTGCAATAACTATTGCAGAGAAGTAATTAACAGATGTTTTAAATTTATTTAAAGCTTTCCAGTATTTGGTATGTTATTGTAAAATTTTATACCTCATCCCATAAAATACCCATTGACTTTTTCTAAACGATACTTAGGAATAACAAGTACAATATCGTGACACCGAGCACCTTGCGGGATATGCAAAGAGTACTACATAATTATTGCCTCATTCATTTTTATGAATCTTCTCATGAATAGGCATATATCGGATCCTAAGAATCGATTTATCCTGCAGACAGTATATGATTTAATTTATTACGAGTGGATAGTCTAGGCCTCCCCCGAGACCTGCATCCTTCCACTTTCACATGGTATAACCAATAACTATATAACATACAGACGCATGTTATTATGTAGTAATATTTATCTATGTAATAATAATTTACAATAGAATAAATACAAGTAGTGTATACATAAACGTACAAGTATAATGTACATGACAACAAAGAAAGTTAAAAGGAAAACAATCTCACCAATGACCGGCGTGCCGGCAAAAATCAATACAAATGACGGACAGTTGCGGAAAATTGGATAACAATTTCCTTATAATGCACCATGTGGCTACAACACCTGGATATTTTGGCGTGACTCCAACACATTTTAATTCAATAGTTACCTTTACCTTGAACCTAAAGATTTAAGTATTAAAGTAATATGCGCAGCGTGTATTATAAATCCTTAAACATATTTTAACTTACCTTAGCTCCTTGTTTCAACAGTTCCTCGCTGTATGCTAGACCGATGCCGGCAGAGGCACCAGTGATCAAAGCAACCTTGCCTTTTAACTCCATCGCTGTACTTTATTTTATGAGAATACACCGCGCCTCGAATGCGGTAGCTTCACTGTAGTTCACTGTGCACTCTGGCCCCGGTTTCCTTGCGGTTCGATCGCGACGGGAACACCACTCTCAGGGGGAGGGGGTAGGGGCGGTCTCCCGTTTCCTCCCCAATTGCTCCCCTCGATAGTAAACATACGCACGCCACTCTCGCTATCCTCGTATCGTACACCTACGTTGATTCACCTTCGCCAAAATCCGATTTCAGTTGTCTAGCTATTTGTTTTCTAACAGTCAGTACATAGTGGATCGAATATTGTAATATCCGTATGTATGTATGTGGAAGGCAATCTCCGAAACGGTCAATTTAAAAAGATGTATTATTATTTTATAATTGGTTTAATTATGTAATATTATATTATCTGTGGTTTAATTGTTTTAAACGGGCATTGTAAATGTATAAATCCTATATATATAATATAAACTTTGTTGTAAGTCCACCTGACAAGTTCGCGATGTGATATCACCATGATTATTAAAATGTAGATATCTTTCTAGGGTTCTATGTCTCAAAAGGAAAATAAACGTAACTCTTATAAGATCACTTTCTCTGTCCGTAAGTCGCGTCGAGACGAATTTAAAAGTCTACCCCTAAAGCGGTTTTTTCACCAGTTTAGGGGAAATACTTATGGATATGTACTTATGTCTACAACTTCCTAAGTTAACGTTAGAAAAAGATAAAGCCATTGCTGTCGCAAAAATGTATATTTTAATACTCTCATTGGAATCATTTATAGGATAGTACTTTCCGTTGACCTAGACCATGAACTTTGGTAAGGTAATACCGTCGTATACCACAAGTAGATACAAGTATCTATAGAGTAAATTCTGAAACGATACATTTGTAATTAAATCATTAAAAATATACGTTTTATTTAAAGCACGTAATCACTGTACAGATCTCTTTCGCATAATTTCGTACAATTCGCATTCTTTCGGTTTTTATTTTTTCATTTTAATTGCAAATAAGCTGACCCTCTTATAATGTTGGGATAAATGCATTAACCGTCGCCTATATATAGGTACATAAATATCAATGCAGAAAATCAAAGTTCGTGATGCCACTACTGCCTCAAAGGCTGCTGCGTTACTATACGTTACTACATTTATATTCACATGAACTTGGTTTCTAAAGGATAACTGAATGAAAATAATTTTAGACTGATTTTTCTTTATTTGTGAATTTATCAATATTTCAATCAGGTACAGTAAATTTTCAAAATAAAAAAATCATTTTACATTTTTTTTAATTTTATACATCATGCAACTCATGAAAATATCACAGATACAACAATACAGCGATGGTTCCGGCTACCGCAGTATTTTACACTCATCCAAAACGCGACCACTCTGATTTGATAAGGCCGCGAACTATACACATATAAATAAAATAAAATTTATCACAAATTACACAATTAAAAAGAACTTGGAAATTTTCTAAAAATCCCTCGCTAAAATAATAAAAATATCATTGGAGCCTATAGCCCCTGTATTATGTATCTCTAAATAAAAACAAAGTACAAATTAATGTCTGTACATTAAAATAATGCTATTAGCCATGATTTACGATAGGTATAAAATATATACACAAACTTTATGTACAATCAAAATATCACAGTGAGATATCACTAACAATCAATATACTATTCAGATAATAAATTTAGATAGATAATAAAAGCAATCCAAAAGTATTCATAGACATAACGAAGAACGTTAATAATTGTAGCGAAGGATTCAATGAGTTCGTTGTATTTATTGGTATTGGGTATTTTTCTGATATTATTGGTTTTGGTATTTAGGAATGATGAGCTTGGTCGGCGCCAGCTGCAGGGACAGCTTTGGCTAGGTAGGAAAATGAGCGTGCATTAGGTAGTCCAGCAAGAACGCAGGCGCTGAGAGCTGATCGGTTCAAGTTCATTGGTGCTGCATCATACCACTCCAGGGTGTCGCCGTCGTAACATTCCACATGAGGAATTGTAGTCGAACCTACATAGGAACATGTGTTTTAGACTTTATAGGCAACTAACATAAATAAATATTTTAATGTCAATTTGTAATTTCAAATTAACAGCTTTTCACTAAGTACATACGGTACATACTTTAAAAAAATTAACTTAACAAATTTTCTTCTGTGTCGTTGTCTATGTTTTGTTTATCGCAAAAGGGTAGACCGATTTAGACGGAATTTGCACTCACAGATAACAGCTAATGTTAAAAGGAGTAACATTAACTACTTTTATTTTAGAAATTTTATTTATATCACTTAATAAAAAAAATCCACGAAGCCCTAAACGATAATCTCAGATGAGATAGTCAGAGGCATTGTTAATTCTACTTCGACTCTCCCACATTTCACTGGGTATATATGGCAGGAGGCGCTCCTGAAGCGTCGACTTCCGTATTAATTTGGTTTTTTATCGGTGATTACATCACCGTTGAGTCTGTCATCAAAATACACACATTGTTTTATCTTTCAGAATCACAACCAACCTCAACCTCCATATATAATATGTAAATAAATAATTATTAATAATTATGTAGTAAAATAATACCATTAAATCCACCAATAACGAAGATCATATCGTCCAGCAAAACTGTTGCAAAATTACTTCGGGCGCTGAACATCTCTGTAATCTCCTGCCAGTCACCACCGCGTTGCGGGTTGAATCTCTCTCCTAAAGATTTGTCACAAACCGATTACTTAAGTTACTAGAATCTATACTAATATTATAAAACTAAAGACTTTGTTTGTTTTTTTGAACGCGCTAATCTCATGAACTACTGGTTCGAATTGAGGAAGCGGAGCTGCAATGGAAAATATTGCAAAAGGTGGGCAAATGAAACGCAAACGAAGTTGCCCGGGTCTGCTGGTATTAAATAATCTTACAATCCATTTGACGTTAACTTATGTACATAGATTCCATCAGAGACATCACCCATACCAAAATAAAAAAAAGGTAAATCTTGATAGGTGATTAATTAGGTGACTAGGAACTTGACGTTCTTATGAATGTCATTTAATGCGGAATTATACGTGGCTCAAACATGAATAAATGATTTTTTATTCGATTTATTAAAAACGGGGGAAATTATAAGGTAGACGAAGTTGCGCGAGTCAGTTCTTTAAGTTTTCATGCGATCTTAATTTTTTTTAAGTCGTCATACTTTCTCTCGTCGTTCTCATGTTATATATAGTCTCCCTTAGCCAATGTCAAGGTGATATCTGTGTTTATTTTAAATGTCAAAATACATTATTCGGGGAAATTTTTATGTTGGTTGGCCTTGTTGTTAATTTTAAAGATAAACTTATTATTATCGTACAAACCAGTATTCAAACGACTGTATCCGTTGAACCCGCCAAGTGCATACAAACAGTCTCTGTATGCAATGAGGCTTACTCCCGAGCGAGGGCTAATCATTGACCTGATGAAGCTCCATTGTTTCGTGTCAGAATCGAAGACTTCTGCGGAACTCAACACTTCTTGTCCGTTGAAACCACCGACTATATAGATCTAAAATTTAAAATATATAACAGATTATATGTTGTTCTGGTGTTACTGTTAAGTTTCATCAAAATCCGTTCAGTAGTTTTTGCGTGAAAGAGTAACAAACATCCATATTTACGAACTTTCGTGTTTATAATATTATATTAAGATATAACAGATAAGATGGCTGTGCTAAAGGTATATACTATGAATTATTCTCTTATATTAAAGTTATCTAACTTTAGCAAAATTTCGGTGATGACTTTTTGGTATTGTAGCCTAAAATTACACCATCTGAACGCATTGACGTTATTTGCCATTATCGCAAAAACTAAAAAAACTGACTTCAAACCTGGATTGAATGGAGCTCAACGGCTAATATACGTACCTTTCCACAGAGAGAAGCTGCGGAGGCGTCGGATCTTTGTTTATTCATAGCTGTGGTCATCTCCCATTGATTCTTGTCGGGGTAGTATCGCTCTACTGAAGACATACGAGTACGGCCATTGTACCCGCCCAATGCGTAAATTAAACCATCTGCATCAAAGTCATGGAGGTAAATTATGTCACTGTTCATGTATTATGTAAAAGCTTCTAAATAACCTAAACATAAATAGATAGATGGATATTTCGATTTCGATAGATAGATATTACAAACAAAGATAAGCAATTTAGATATAAATGAAAATCACAACAGATTACATACAGAATTGGCAACAGAAACTGAAACTGTATCACCTGTTGCTGTAGCAATCCGTAGCGAGTTGTATATTACATATCCAAAAGACAACCTACAAGCACCCCTAAATTTCAGTCTCCTCATTCATTTTACTATCATTTACATATGTAACGTACCATGCGGGTGTAGCCGTAGTGTAGTTAGGACAGTATAATTATAATTTTACTGGATGTTTCAGGTAGGTACTTAATTTATTCCGATCCGCTACCACTTTGGTCGCCATTATGACTACCAAATGCGTATTGTTACTAATTTCGTTAATGCTATTTTCGGTGTACGCCATAATATAAGTACCCTATTTACACAGGATACAAAACACCCTTCATTTTGTTTCTAAAGGGTCTATCAATTAACATCATTAATATTCACAACATTATGATGTACGTCCGAACGATATTACGGAGATAAAATGGTCATTGAGAACTAACCGTGTGCAACTACACTGACATAACACCTCGCTTGGTACATGCATGCTCTTTCATGCCAGGTATTTGCCACTGGGTCATAGCATCGCACTGTATTGAAATGATCACTACCGTCAAAGCCGCCGATCATGTATATCAAGTTGTTCAAAGTGCACAACCCATGATACGCACGAGGCGTGAGATCCATGTGGATTGAGAGAAACCAACGATCTGCTCTATAAACAAAAATGATTATAACAATTATTATTTTATTTTAAAGAGAAATTAAAGACATATTTCAAGACCTACTGCACAACAACAGAACTTATATGTATACAGACGTTATTTAATTAGATATTCATCACTATGCTTATCTAAATTCCATATTTTGGAATTATTACCAGTGTTAATGCACCAAAGATGTAGTACCTTGTATCATAGGTTTCAACGAAACTAGTCGGACTGCCAGCGCTCCAACCACCGACCGCGAAAAGTATTTCATAAGGAATTCGAGGGCGAGCTAACGGGTCGTTAAGGTCTGCCTCTGTACCAGGTCTTGAATCCAATACCGTAAGGAATACTACAGCTGGGTATAGCGCTTCTTGACATTTCTGTTATTAAAAAGCAAGCACCTCTAGAAACAATGTAAATTCCGAAAAAAATAAACAGGTACAATCTATGAATTTTATAATACTTACATCATCGTCGACCACAGGCTGCCACTGTAATATTTTTGATTTAAAATACTTGTAACTTATATGACCAAATCGCACACAAGACAATAGCGAAGGAACATATTTTCTTCTATTTTCAATATCGTGTTCTACCCACGTTTTTACAGCTTGAAATACAATTTCCTCATTACGTACGTTTAATTCGTCGTCACGCAGAATATCTTCAAGCTCGCCATAAGAAAGCGACTGAAACTCATTACATTCCTTAAGTATTCGGTTAAAATTCTGTCTTATATACAATTTTCCCTTTTTCTCTAACTCGCCACAGAAATAGTACTTGGCAAATTTGAATATACCTAGACAGTTGTGAGGTCTTAGTTCTTGCAACAGAAATTGACAACACGATTGTATAACGCCTAAAATATCAAATTGATCTGCATACGGCAATAAATATTCTACATTCCCTGCTGTAACTGTGCATGTACCTGTATAGGCATAATCAAGTATTAAACTCATATAGTAACTTGGGACATCTACAGATATCTCAGTTTCTTCCGGTTGACCTTTCTTCAACGAATTTATAAATATCGCTTTGAAATAAGGACTAACAGCTGAGAGTATGGCTCTGTGTACTCGTATTGATTTCATGTCCCTACAAACAATCGTCCCGTCACACAACTGGCCATTCTGCCGTAATTCATTCCATATAGATGGGAATTCAACTACCGAATAATTTTCAGGGAGGCAAACACATTTCCTTTTTCGCGTTACAATTCGCTTTTTGGTCAAACGTGATTTTGTGGAAGCGGGAGTACGAATTGAATTTTTAGTTTTGCATAATTTTCGATGTTTCGTATTAAATTCCATCCCTTTAGAAAAAACGGCGGTCGAAACTTTTATCTGTCGCGATGACAGATTTTGTCACAGTGTTCTTAGTTTGTTTTATGATTTTTATAAATTTGTAATGGCACACTATGTGAGTGCCATTAATTATTATTAACATAATAAGTACACATAATATACACCAATACAAACAATGAAACGCATGAAAACAAATGTTTTTACAATGCGAGGAATCGAAGCCGCAACCATTGAAACTAAGGTGGTGTGCTAAACTGCTAGTCTACCGACACCTAGGCCTGGTGGTCCTGATGAATACGCATTGATGGGAAATAATTATTCCACTAACATTTTTTAAAATAATGTTCTACTGCTTTTTATTTGTACGGTTTCTTGCGGTTCGCTTTTTAAAATCCATAAATTATATTACATAGCGTAATATAATTTATGGATTTTAAAAAGCGATTACCGTTAGGCGAGTACATTATTCCATTAACATTAATTAAAAATAACATGCAGACTGGCTAAGGGTTAATAAGTTTTTAATTTTTTCTAAGTTCATTAGGGACTGACGAGCCATAGATGTTCTATCTGATGTTAAGTGGCAACCGTCGTCTATTCATGAAGAGCTCCACGGACATGAAGTCGAGCTCGTGCTCACCTTGCTGAGAGCTCAGTACGACATTGCTATTTTGGTTCAAAGTTACAAATCCTGTAAATAGATAGATATAGACTTCCTATTTAAATATTAAGTAAGTGTTAGATATTGCTTAATATTGATAGTGTCTCTAAATTGATTTTTTTAATCATATCTTATCTGTGAATGAAATAAAGTAAACGTAAACCATAAAATACAATTTTAGTTTTTTGATTGTTACTACTGGGGACGAGACACTATTCTTTTTGATTACTTCATATTTAATTGTTAAATAATAATAAATTAAAGTAACTACTAAATTAATCGTATAAAAATACTACAATAAAATGGCAAACACTGAGATTACATTACATACAAAATTTGTTTCTTATAATTATGTAACTGGCAAACTGTGCGAAGGGGACAGACTCCCTTATATTATAGTCTCATGAGAGAAATCGTTTGTTTTACTGTAAACTAATTAAAAATGTTTTTTTTAATTTTAATGTTTGGAGATAAGATTCAAATTTAAATTTGATGTATATTACTATCGCTTACCAGTTACGTAGAGCATTAAACTGCGTTCAACATTTTTATTGTCTTTGGTTGGATAACAGAAAATTTTGTAGTGGCAACATATTTCACAATTGTCAAAGTTTGTTTTTCTCTATAGTTTCTTTTTCTTCCGATTGTCAAGATGGTGAGTTTCTAATGCAGAAAAATATAAACAAATCTTTAAAAATCTAAGTGCACGTAATAAGTTGTGAATTATTATAATATTATTTATGTAAAGCAGTGTATTCAGTATGTGTCGCTCTCTATATTTCAGGGTATCGACATCAACCATAAACACGACAGGAAAGTTAGGCGCACCGAAGTCAAGTCTCAGGATGTTTACTTGAGATTGTTAGTAAAAGTAAGTCAAAACCCTTAATACACCTCTTACCTCTTTTGATCAATTAATTGAACTTTCACTGTATAACTTACATAACTTTAAGTATACATTGTATTCAACTTAACCTATATTTGTTGACAGCTATACAGATACTTGGCTAGGCGTACAAATGCCAAGTTTAACCAGATCATTTTGCGGCGTCTGTTCATGAGCCGCATCAACCGGCCTCCAATCTCACTATCGAGACTGGCCCGTCACATGAAGAGGCCTACCCGTGAAGGTCTGATCGCCGTTGTTGTTGGAACTGTTACCAACGATGTGAGGCTTTACACGGTCCCCAAACTGACAGTGGCCGCACTCCACGTTACTGAGAAAGCACGCGCTCGCATCTTGGCTGCTGGAGGTTTGTTGATTTAATTAATAGTCAGAGTAGGATAACTATAGTCTAGTCATGCCAAAATTATGAGTATATAATAAATAATATAATTTTTTAAATAAATTATATGATACATTTTTTTAATTTTAATAATTTTTTAAATACTACCATAATAGACTAAATTAAAATCAGGTGTAAATGTCAAATTTATAAATAATGTTTCCATCAATGGTGAAATGTTGCTGTACCTGCGATACCAATTCAGTTTACTTGGAAATTTTTAATTTAACATATTATTTTTAAAGCTTTACATTATATTTCCGCAGCAGATTTTCAACATTTACATACATATACTAGTGTCTCCATTGCTGTTGTTATTATACATCACAAAAATATATTTTTGTCATTTTCATACATATATCTTTTTACAGTATTAAGCTACAAATAAACATTTTTTTTTCTTTCAAACAGTCAAATTTATCTCCAGGATTAAAACAGACTATAATTAATGTGAATGCCATTTGTCCTTTTTTTTAATTGTTATTTCAAAAAATTTTCTACATTATTTACTAAATATGCTTAATATAAACAAAACACTAAGCTTATCCCGAATCATGCAATGAAAGACTATCACAATGGTTAGATAATATTTATATAAATTATTTCATTTGCTGTGGTTCATTTAAACTGAAATACAGTACTCTGATAAATCAGTTTGGTTTTTAATAGTCAATGTTATTATTTAATACAGAACTACTGAAAATCAGATGTGTGGAATAATAAGTAAATACTTGTTTATTAGGAAAACTGTTATAGTAATCACATCTTAATACAACATCATAAGTTAATTTTTTTTCATAAATCACTAGTCTCTTCAGTCTCTCTTGTCACCATGACTATAATTAACAATGATAAAAAGTAGCTTATGTCCTTCTATTCCAAATATTAAGCATATGCTAAAATTCTTGATGGGGTCAGTTTTGTCTTTACAGTGTGAAAGTATATCAGAAAACTTGTATTATTTTACCATTTTCAAATTTGAACCACTTATATAGAAAAAAAAGATATGTAGTTTTATAGTTAAATACATAGCCTCTAATTCTTTGCAGACAGTAGTATTATATTGTTAATAAGGTATAAGTATGCTATGTGTTAACCAAGGAAAGGATCTATTTGTGTAATGAACTTTATTATATCCATTTACATTTTTTTGTGATAGAGTAACAAACTTTTATGTTTATAAAATTATTAATATTATAATTGCAGGAGAAATCCTAACGTTCGACCAATTGGCACTTCGCGCTCCCACTGGCCGTAAGACCGTGCTGGTTCAAGGTCGCCGCAATGCACGTGAAGCAGTCCGTCACTTTGGCCCTGCACCAGGTGCTCCACGCTCGCACACGAAACCTTATGTGCGTTCAAAGGGACACGAGCGCGCACGGCCAAGCCGTCGCTCCAACGTGTAATCTTTAAATATAAGGAGTACAACCTAATTTTGAGTATTATTTATGCCAAATACCTTATCAGTTACTATTATCTCACTGCTTGCAGGCATCTCTCGTTAAGAGGAAGATTTTGCCTACTATTTCTGCGATAACTAGGCGCCATGTACATGAATAGGGGAAGCATATTAATGCTTCCCCTATTCAGTCTTAAACACATTCTACGGAATAAATCAAATACAAACCATCACATAATGCATAATGGCAGTACTTTTGCATGAACATCCTGCCTATATATTTTTTATTAGTGAAAATTCATGGTAGTTGTACATATTTATACAAAAAAGGAAAATTCTAACCACATATTCTCTATTAGACGTGGACTCCACGACGATCTAAGAAATTGTGACTTCAACAATTTAATTTTCTCCCATAACGGTAATTTCATTCCATAATTCATATTTGATTTTGAAATATGGCGGTATGCAAAAAGCTATATAGCAACCAAGGATCTGATTATTAATCATAAAGAGGGGATAGGAGATTTTTAGTAACGACTTCCCGTTATGATTTCTGGTGATTTCGCCACTATGGGCTGACTGACTGCTCATAGGTGGGAGCAATATTCCATAAAAAAACAATAATACTGATTCATATTTTTATATTAAGAAACTAGAATGATTACCTAATATCACAGAACTACTAACATTACTCTTAATTACAAAAGACTTCAATCCAATATTTCAATAACACATCATCTTGTTGCGTCAAGCCAAGAACCTTTTTCAAATTGACTACTTCTTGTGATTTGGGACCTGATGCCACAATTGCAGATTTTACTGCTTTACTTAATCTGTAAAATAATAAAACAAATATTAAAGCATGTAGTATACACAAAACCCGAACAATGAACCAGTCCTGTAATCTGAAGAATTTATAAAGAATAAATAAGTATTAATGAAATCAATTGTTTTTATCGCATGAACCCTGTTATAGTTACACAGTAATAAGTAATATAGGATTCATACATAAAATAAAGTCTTGATTAAAAATAGCTTCTGCTAAAAGTTTCTTAGACTGACCTGATTTTCGTTACATATTTTATTGTTGTTCATAACTTACCCAAGCCATTCTAGTTGTAATGTCTTCACATGCTGCTGAAGAACTGCATCATTGAAGTAAGTATTCGTCATTGCCGCCTCTATTTTGTTCATAATAGTTGGGCCTGCAGTAAGTTTGATCATTAGTCCTTCCACAGAATAACAAAACCAACCTAAACAACTATATTCTATAATCAAATATTATTATATAATAAATCATTAGTTTTTACTGTTGCAAACCTGGCTTAAATATAAATGTTTTGCGAATTTACTTGATAGGAAGTATCAATTTCAAAAAGTAGTCGGTGACAAGATAATTTATTATTACCTAGTAGGGATAAAATATTAATGAAAAATTTTACACTTAAAGCTGCTCAATACTCTGGCTACTACTGATTAAATTATTTTTAATGATTTCATGTAATTTCCACTGCTCTATTACTAGATATAGGCCTCATTCAAAAGCTGCTAAGGAACACGGCTACCTATGGGGTATCCATTCATTAATCTCAGGAAACAAAGATGGTACTCCATTCTATGGAAGATTGTATAACATTTATGTTACCTGTCTGAAGTTGCTATATTCTAGCTTTCATGGATTGTCAGATTTTATAGTAAAATAACTTGTATATTATATAGGTATATAGTATAGCATACTATTACTAACATACCTATTTGAATTATTAAAAAAAAAATTGTTTCTCACATTTAGCGGGCAGTGTTCCTTGCCACTTGTAACTGAAGTTATTGTTTTCTGTTTCCTCAACTATGCAAGCTGTTTCCATATTCATAATTTGTTCGTTGTTGTCACTTATCCGAATATGAGTTGCTATTACATTGGTTATTGGTAATAATTGTGATAAACTTTTATTTATAACTGTAGAATTTTGTGACTTTATAAATATCTGTAAATTAAATATTATTTTTATATATATTACTATAAGACATTACAGTCATGTGCATTCGTTTTTTATATTAGCCTAACCATGTCGAAGTTCGCATCATGTGAATTTTTAAGAAAAAGGGATAATAATTAAATGTACAATAAAAATTAATACCATTGGAATTTTCACCTGTAAATAATTGGTTATTTTTTCTACATATTGATTCTTAATTTTATTATTTAAATTATTTTAAAGTTATTGACCACAACATCTGAGTAGTACCAATAATCTGCTTAACACACTTTCTACAATTAATAACAAATGCATTTAAAAAAAACTATATCCAATTAATTACAAAATTGTGAAAATAACTTACATGGATTCCAGTCAGTGTACAGTAAAGTAATACTCTAAAAACTGATTTTGATAACAAATTCTCCAATGCTCTCAAAGTGATATAGTCTTCACTATTTGTGTTACAAATACTATCTTCACATATCGTATTAGTGGTTGAGCGTGGACTTAGTTTCTTGAGCAAATCGTCACTTGTAAACAATGTTTCAGAGTATGTCAGTGCCCCAGCTTTTAACATCCAAGTAAAGTGAGAATGAAGTTTTTTGAAAACATTTTCTTCACCTAAAAATAGTAAAGAAAACTTTATTACTCTAGACCTATTAAAAATAGTGTAATAAAAACATTTCATTTTATGTGTGTAAAAGACTTATATTTAAGTAAATATACATGTACTAACATGAATTCGAAAAATATAATTAACCAATTGTTTTGGTTCATAAAAAATATATTATCTATGATTACCACAGGAATTACATAGTTATGAAATAATTAATGTGCTGGCCGCTGCCCCCGGGAGTCGGAAGGCGCGTCGGCAGGCACCGAGTCGCTGGTACGCCCGGACGTCAATCTATCCTCCTCGAGGTGAGAGAGTGCCCTTTTCAAAGCACTCCCTACCTGAAGGGCCTCAATAAACGCCGCGGGCGCGTTGCGGGTGAAGGACCAGGTGCCTTTTTATAGGCACCACGATGATTCGTCCTGAGAAGGACGTTTAAACGATGCTGATGCGACGACACGATGCGTGAAGAGGATTGTGATGACTATACTTAACGACGGCGATGATGGACGGGCAGTGAATGAGAAAACAGTTCTTGTGGTTCAGAATGCAGAGGCGAGGAGAATTTCTTCAGTGGTTGATTCCTTTTCAGGTCGATTTCGCTATCCGAAGATCAATGTCGCTATTCAGAGGTTGAATTCGCTATGATTTGTAGCGCTTTTGGACGCTACTTATATACGATTTTTGGCTACTAGCCAGCGGACCCTTGGCCGCCCTATTCTCCTCACCCCTTTATATAATTTTTATTATATTTTATCAATCTTACATTTTGTGTTTACAATTTGTGCATCAAACGTCAATACCATCTTTAATTTACATTTCTATTATGATGTGTGCGCTGCGCGACGTGCGGTTTAGGAATAATTCGCGATTTCGCGGATCGCGCCTTTTATATGACCTCGCTCCCCTTCCCCCTCATATATATATAGCGCGGGAGAGCGAGGTCGCGCGTCAGTCGAACGAATGCTGCCGCGCAACGCACATTACAATTATTATTACATATCTACAAATGAAATGATACTATAAAAAGATCCCTATGTATTTTGGGATCTATTTTTTATACTATATTCTATTCTGTTTCTATTTGCCGACCTATTTATTTTTAGGGGATTGAAACCACAACCATTATAATCATTTATTTGTCAAGCATTTTTGTAAATAATAACATAAATAACTTAAATTTCTATAAACTTATCCCTATCAAATCTATTAATCTTAAGGTGTTACTATGTAACAATTGTACTATTTATAAATTTGCTATATCTAATCGAACTTATTTCTACAAACTATGACTATATATAATCTTTAAGCGGTGGTCCGGAACATTATTCTCCCGCCGCTGCAGCGGTCGTCGAGGGCGCTGCAGGAGCCTTGTCTGGTTCCGGAGCCCGCTCTTCACTATCAGCAACTCCCGTTGGCAGGACCACGAGTCGTTTGGTTGGCCTCCTCAGCACGCCATTCTTGGTCTGGATGTCGGCCACTCGGATGACGCCGTCTGGGCCGGGAAACACTGCTATTACTCTCCCGCGCGGCCATGTGTTGCGCGGGAGATTGGAGTCGACGATCAGGACTAAGTCTCCGATGCGCAGAGGTTGCCCCGTGCCGCGGGGCTCCCGCCGGTGTTGAAGTTCCGGTAGGTACTCCCGGAGCCATCGGCTCCAGAAGTGGTCTGCTAGCCGCTGCGCTCTCTTCCAGTGACTCCGGCTATCGATATCGGTGTCTTCAAAGCTTCCCGGAGTTTGCACTTTGCCCGATCCTCCCAGTAGAAAGTGGTTAGGCGTGAGGGCTTCCTCGTCGTCCGGTTCAGTTGACACATGTGTGAGCGGACGGCTATTCACGGTATATTCCGCCTCACACAGCAGTGTGACTAATGTTTCTTCCGAAGGGTGCCGCTCATGCAGTGTGGCGGCTAATGCTGTTTTCACGGAGCGGACGAGACGTTCCCACGCTCCGCCCATGAATGGTGCGCTGGGGCTGATGAACCGCCAGCGTATACGATGATTAGCCGCGTCTTCGCGACTTGCTTCTATAGCGGCGCGACGTAGCTCTGCGTCTGCGCCGTGGAAGTTGGTCCCATTGTCGGACCAGATCTCGGTTGGCTTCCCTCGTCGGGCCATCATCCGCCTGAGTGCGGATATTGCGGAGTCTGTAGACAATGAGGTGGTTAACTCTAAATGTACTGCTCGCGTTGTCAAGCATGTGAACAACGCGATGTAGCGTTTGTGGTGTTGTCGCCCCACGGTGACACTAAGAGGCCCGAAGAAGTCCACGCCTGTGTATGTGAACGGCCTCTGGTGATGGGCGAGTCGGCTGACCGGATGGTCTCCGGTGGGCGGGATCGATGCTGTTGCGCGTCGTAGTCGGCACAGTTGACATCGCTTGACGATGCTGCGAATTGTCGGTCTCGCTCGAAGTATCCAATAATGCTGTCGAGCTTCGTTCATCACCAACTCGACTCCGGCGTGGTGATGCGTTCTATGCACCCAGTCCAGGTACAACTGGGTATATCGATGATTCCCATCCAGGACTATCGGTTTTTTCATGCTGTCTGTAACATCGACGACTGCTGCTATTCTTGACTTCAACTTGATGTAACCGTCTTCTTCGATCACCGCTAGTGGTTTCAGTCGGCTATTGTTATCGACTGTCCCTTTACCGCGGAGTGTTTCTATTTCGTTCTTGAACGATTCTTGTTGCGCGGCCCGTATCCACAATTGTTCCGCGCGCTGTATATATTCCGCAGTTAATTTGATGAAATTTCTTTCTTCACTATTGTCGAACCTCGGCGCTGTCCGTACTATTTTGCGAGCTGTCTTCTTATTCCACGCCGGGTCCTTCTCTATATTGCGCGCTGTGCGCCTATAATGTACAGCGTTTTGTGAGGCGGTGTTTTTTCTATTTTCGACCGCTTCGCGTAACCGGTCGGTGAACTGCAACACGCGTGCTGTGGCTCGTAGTAGTCGCAGCCATGACGTGAAGCGTGTGATGTCCGGGAGTACGCCGCTGTCTGTTGTGTTGCTATCGCCTGTGTATACCATGTGCGTGCGTTCTTCTCCGGTGTCTGTTGTTATGCCACCAGACTCATCTTGCCCGGGCCATTCTTCCTGCGGCTTGTATAGGAACTGGGGTCCGGTGAACCATCGATGTTCCGTGTCGAAATCCGTGGGCACTCCTCGAGTTGCGTCATCGGCCACGTTGTGACGCGTAGGTACCCATTTCCATTCGTTCGCTTTCGTTTCTTCTTCTATTTCCGCGACTCTATGCGCCACGAATGGTTTGAATGTGCGTGGACCAGCCCTTAACCACGCTAATACTGTTCTTGAATCGCTCCAGAAGTATCGACGGTCCGGTTTAATCTGGTATTCTTCTGTAGCCGTACGTGCTAACCGGCAACCCAGGACAGCGGCTTGCAACTCGAGTCTTGGTATAGATACTATCTTCAGAGGTGAAACTCGCGCCTTGGCTATGGCGAGTGTCACGTGAATGTTGCCGTCCTTGTCTTGCACTCTCCAATACACGGCGGCGGCGTAGGCGTTCTCGCTTGCGTCTACGAATGTGTGCAGTTCCCTGGATGACGCGCTGCTCAGCTCCGGATGACATCGTGGCACGTTGATATGGCGTAAATTGACTAAGTGCTGTGTCCACTTCGTCCAGTCTTCGGCTAACTTCTCAGGCAATTTCTCGTCCCAACCGATGCCGATTCGCCATGTTTCTTGTAAAATGCCTTTCGCTTGCACGGTGACGGGTGATGCTAATCCTAGTGGGTCGAAGAGAGACATGACCGTCCGGAGGGCTTCTCTCTTCGTCGGTGTGCGACTTCCGTTGACTATCTCTTGCGGAATTCGGGCCATATTTAAGTTGAAGCCCAATGTGTCCGTGGCGGGCCTCCATGTGAGGCCTAATATTTTCTCTTCTTTGTCGGCTCTATCTATGGAGACGGTCCTATCTTCTATTCTTGTGCTGTTGTATTTTTCTTGTAGTTGTGGGCTGTTCGATGTCCACTTCCTTAAATGGAATTTTGCTTTCCTATGTACGGTGTCAACTTCATGGGTGATTTTCATAGCTTCTTCCTCCGTTTGGAAACTTTGAAGGTAATCATCCATATAGTGGTTATGGATAATTGCGTCGGCTGCTCTTGGATATTGTTCCTTGTGTTGTTCTGCGTTGTGGTTCTTGATGTACAAAGCGATGCACGGTGAGCAGGCGGCGCCGAAGATCACTGCCTTCATTCTATATTCGCGGGGTGGTCCCTCCCGCCGGTGTTGTCGCCACAGGAACCGCAGGACATCTCTATCTTCTTCGTTGATTTCTATTCGTAGAAACATTTCTTCTATATCTGCGGCGACGGCTATTGGATGTTGTCTGAATCGCATTAACACCCCTGGTAACGATTGAAGTAAGTCCGGACCGGTCAGCAGATGATCGTTGAGTGACGTCCCCCTGGCGCGAGCGGCTGCATCGAAGACTGGACGAACTTTCCCCGGCTTAGCTGGATGAAGCACGGGAAAGTGCGGAAGATACCAGGTGCGGGCGTCCGATGGGGTGGTGGCGGCTTCTTCTGCGTAGCCTTTTTCTATTAGGAGCGCTATTTGTCGCTCGTATTCTTCTTTCAGCTGTGGATTCCTATCTATTTTCTTCTCTGTGCTGTACAGCCTGTTGAGCGCCGCATCGTAGTTGTTCGGCAACTCGACTTTATCTGTTTTCCACAGTAGCGATGTACTATATCCCCCATCTGGCAGAGCGCGAGTCTTCTTCTGTAGTATCTGTAGTGCTCGCTCTTGAGGGTCGGCGCGTGTCTTTCTTGGCAGCACGCCTAGTGATTCTATAGAGAAATATCTTCTTAATTCCTCTTCTATTCTATCCTCGGCCCCCTCACGTATATGATATACATGGTGGACTTGATGGCCGAGACTGCGAGTGGACGCTCCATGCAGCACCCATCCGAGCGGAGTTTTCGATGCGACTGGTTGTGACGAAGATCCTCGGCGAACTTCTATGGCCAGTAACA